TGGAAGACTTTTGATGACAGCTTCTATTTCCATAGGGGTTATAGGTCTATTTAAATTGCTTATCTGTTCTTGATTTAGTTTTGGCAAGTGATAGCTATGCAGGAAGTCGTCCATTTCCTTTAAATTTTCGAATTTTGTGGAGTACAGGTTTTCAAAGTATGACCTGATGGATGATTCTCTGAATTTCCTCAGAGTCCATTGTTATGTCCCCCTTTTCATTTCTGATTTTGTTAATTTGCATGTTCACTCTCTGCTGTTTGGTAAGTTTGGACAAAGGTTTGTCTAACATGTTGATTTTCTCAAAGAACCAACTCTTTGTTGCATTGATTGTTTGTATTCTGTTCCTAGTTTCTACTTTATTGTTTTCAGCCCTCAATTTGCTTATTTCCTGGTGTCTACTCCTCCTGGGGAGTTTGCTTCTTTGTGTTCTAGAGCTTTCAGCTGTGCTGTTAATTCTCTAGTATAACTGTTCTCCAGTTTCTTCATGTGGGCACTTAGTGCTATGAACTTCCCCCATAGCACTGCTTTCAAAGTGTCCCATAGGTTTGGGTATGTTGTGTCTTCATTCTCATTGAATTCGAGGAAGTCTTTAATTTCTTTGTTTTTATTTCTTCTTTGACCCAGGAATGGTGCAGTTGTGCATTATTCAATTCCCATGAGTTTGTAGGTTTTCTGCAATTTGTGTTGTTGAATTCTAATTTTAAAGCATGGTGGTCTGATAATGGAGTTATTCCAATTTTTTTGTAGCTGCTGAGGTTTGATATGTTGCCAAGTATGTGGTCAATTTTTGAGAAGGTTCCATGTGGTGGTGAGAAGGTATAATCTTTTTTATGTGGATGAAATGTTCTATAGATGTCTGTTAATCCCAGTTGGGTCATTACTTCTATTAGACCCTTTGCTTCTTTGTTGAGTTTCTGTCTGGTATTCCTGTCTAGTGGTGAGAGTGGTGTGTTGAAATCTCCTACTATAAGTGTGTGGGACTTTATATGTGATTTAAGTTTTAGTAATGTTTCTTTAATAAAATGTGGATGCCTTTGTATTTGGGGCATAGATGTTCAGGATAGACACTTCATCTTGGTGGATTTTACTTGTGATGAGTATGTAATGACCTCCTTCATCTCTTTTGATTGATTTTATTTTAAAGTCTAGTTTGTTAGATATTAGGATTGCTACCCCTGCTTGTTTCTTGGGTCCATTTGATTGAAAAATTTTTCCCAACTTTTAACTCTCAGGTAATGTCTGTCTTTGAGGGTGAGGTGTGTTTCTTGTATGCAGCAGAAGGAAGCGGTTCTGTCTTCGAATCCATTCTGCTAGCCTGTGTCTTTTTATGAGTGAGTTAAGGCCATTAATGTTGAGGGATATTAATGACCATTGATTGCTCATTCTTCTTCGATTTGCAGTAGTTGTTGTTGGTGGAAGTATGTGGAATTTCACCCCTTTGTTCTTTCGGCTGTTGGTAGAGAATGATTCTCTAATGCCTATGTTTTTCTGGTTGTAGTTAGCTTCCTTGGGTTGGAGTTTTCCTTCCAAAACTTTCTGTAGGGCTGGGTTAGTGGATACGTATTGCTTGAATCTAGTTTCGTCATGGAATATCTTGTTTTCTCCATCTATAGTGATTGAGAGCTTGGACTGTTATAGTAGTCTTTGCTGGCATCCATGGTCTCTTAGTGTTCGTAGAATATCTATCCAGGACCTTCTGGCTTTCAGAGTTTCCATGGAGAAGTCAGGTGTAATTCTGATAGGCCTGCCTTTGTATGTTACTTGGCCTTTTTCCTTAGCTGCTCTTAATATTCTTTCTTTATTCTGTATATTTGTGGTCTTGATTATTATGTGGCGAGGGGACTTTTTTGTGGTCCACTCTATTTGGTGTTCTGTAAGCTTCTTGTACCTTCATTGGCATGTCTTTCTTAAGGTTGGGAAAGTTTTCTTCTATGATTTTGTTGAATATGTTTACTGCCCCTTTGAGGTTATTTTCTTCTCTTCTTCTATACCTATTATTCTTAGGTTTGGTCTTTTCATGGTGTCCCATATTTCCTGGATGTTTTGTGTTAAGGATTTGTTGGACTTAAGGTTTTCTTTGGTTGATGAATCCATTTCTCCTTTTGTATCTTCAACACTTGAGATTCTCTCTTCCATCTCTTCTATTCTGTTGGTAATGCTTGTATATGTAGTACCTGACCGTTTGCCCAGCTTTTCTATTTCTGCCTTTCTTTAGATTGTGTTTTTTATTGTCTCTATTTCAGTTTTCAGCTCTTGCAGTGTTTGCATTGTTTCTTGAAGTTTTTGGTTTATCTTTTCGTCCATTTGTTGCCTTTTATGATTTTTTGGCTTGTTCTTTCTTCCATTTCTTTCATTTTTTGGCTTGCTTCTTTCTTCCATTTCTTTCATTTTTTGCTTTGTTTCTTCTTCCATTTCTGTGCCTTTTTTGGTATGTTTCTTCTTCCATTTCCTTGCATTTTTTGCTATGTTTTTTCTTCCATTTCTACCTTCTTCGTTTGATTTCTTCTTCCATTTCCTGGCTTTTTTGGTTTGTTTTTTCTTCCATTTCTTTGAGGGATTTTCCTATATCCTCTATTATGGCCTCTATCATTTTCATGAAAGTGGTTTTAAGGTCATTCTCTTCTGCTTCGTTTGCATTGGAATGTTGGAGTCTTGCTGGTGTGGAGTTTCTAGAATCTGGTGGTGTCTTATTTGTTTTTCTGTTGCTGAGTGTGTTTTTGTATTGTCTCTTTCCTGTCTCTTCTTTTAGTGGGTGCAGAAAGAGCCCCTTACTGGTCTGGTGGTTAGGGGACCAGAGTTCCCTTTTGGTAGGTGCTAGCAAGTCCAATAATCTGGTAGTTCTTCTATTCCTTGTCCTTGTTCTGGTCCCGTGGATGGAGAAGAAAAACAAGAATCTGGGGCACTTAGCCTCCCACCTGGTCCCCTGGACCCTTTTTTGGATCCTGTTGTACCTGATCCCGCCACCAGAACAGCTGCTCCTCTGGTCTCCCTGGCTCTTCTGGTTTCCTGGTCTCATTGGTGGGGAGAAGTCCTGGAGTCTGTGGTGTTTGGCTCCCAGACTCCAGGATTGGAAGCTCTGTGCAGTTCCCAGGTGATCCCCAGGCACTGGAACACAGGACTTCTCTCCCACCAATGAGACCAGGAAACCAGAGGAGCCAGGGAGACCAGGGGAGCAGCTGTTCCAGCTGGATCAGGTACAACAGGCCCTGCTTCTGGGCCTGTGTTCCAGTGCCTGTGGATCGCCTGGGAACTGCACAGAGCTCCCAGAAGTTTTAAGGTTGTTGAGACTCCAAGTGATAGGGGGGTCACCTCCCAGTGCTTGGGTGGGTCACCTCCTTAGAGTTTTTGATCAGAGGTCACAGAAGACCCTAAAACAATAAAGACCAATGCCACTGCTCTTGGGTGTTTTTTCAGAGCTAGATCATAAGATCCTATTGCTGAATGCATCATATGCTTTGGCTGCAGGACTTGGGTAAATAAAGCTTGTCTCCACCCTATGAACTATCTCATGTGTATCATAAATTGATACTAAGACTGTCCAGGAGAGTTAAGGTAAAATTCCTACTGGGTTGCAAATCTTGCATGTTTCATAATGGAAGTATAAGGAGAGATCTGCCAGCTCATGCAACAGTGGCACAGAGTAGTTAGTCATACACAGAGCCAACTTTCTGATGTGATCTGAGGTCCACTCTACAAGGGAAAATTCATATCTGACATTGGGAACGTGGGCAAAATCTGTTACTAGGGAATTCCAAGGCTCCTATGCAGAAACAACTGATATTGCACTGTATTTCTTAAATGTTGTAGCAGCTAGGGTCCATCCTAACATTTTAATTTACTGTCATAACCTATCACTACAATAAATGTACATTTGGATATTTTTCCAGTTTCCCTTTTCATTTATGTTTTGTAGCAGGAGGAGTGCCCCAGTTCTTACCAACAGTGGTGTTCCAGAGACAATGAATGACCTGACAACATGACAATATCTAACTTGGAGGAGGAAAGGGGTCATTTCTGTTTATACTGGAAGCCAAGGCACGAGCTGAAGACAGGAAGCTGACAGTAGGAAGTCAGGCAGAAACCATGGAAGACTCACTGTTTGCTGACTCCTTTCTAGGCTCGAGTTCAGGCAAACTTCAAATTGACATAATTAACAAAAGAACAAAAGGAGTTCTAGGACCCAGGAGGGCTAAAGGATTAAAAAATTAAAATGTTGAAAATGTTACCTAAGGTTCCTAACTGAAGGAGACTCATCTGACAGCAAGGAATAGGGAAGGCAAAACTGGGCCACAGGGCAGAAAATGGGGCAGGCAACATGGGGCATGATGGCTTTGTGTGTCATCAGGTACGACCACGATGAAACGTTTCAATGAAATGATTCACATGTCCTCTGGTGCACGTTTCCACTGAGAAAGTTGCAAAGAAGTAACTCTTGCCACTGCTTCTGGAGTCACTAAAGTCATCTTCTGTGCCTGGTGGTGCTAAGCCCCCGCCCCCACCTCACCCTTGTAGATAGCAGTGGGGGTTAGGTGGCCTTTGCCTCAGAAGGAAAGTGACTGGCAGGTTTTAGGAAAGTGCTCCTGGAGACTCAACCTGTGCAGACTCCAGTGTTCCTAAGCAAATGCTGCTTGGCTATTCAATGACTCTGTTGTTTGAAGGCAACAATAGGCTGAGATAGTAGGCTGACTTCAGGGATCAGGTTTTTCGCATATGCAGTAAGCATGCTTAGAATGCCTGAACTGTCAGAGTTCTCTGACTTATGCTGTCGAAATGGTAGGATTGACTGTTTTAGAAGTGTTGCTAGGTGATGGTGGGATGGAATACCCATGCTACTGGGATTCTACCCTACAGGGCTTGCCCGTAGGTGCTTTGTGGTGGTCGTGGGTGCTGGTGGCAAAACTTACTTGCTGTATTTTTCCTATCCGTATCACTGTTTTCTCCCTGAGGGGGGAACAACAGCCACAGGGGGGAGGGCAGGGGGGAGGGGTAGATATTTCCAGAATGAGGAAGTTCTTGACCTTCTTTGGTCAAAGGCAGTCTTCTGAGGCATCCACCAGCCAGAGGCCTTGGTTTCAGAACAGGGCTTCTAGTCCCTGCTCCACCACACATCTCCCAAAGTATAAAGCTCGCGGAAAGTACCACAAGGCCGCGAGCTTGGGTGATGTTGCCAAGGTTCAGTTCAGACTCGAGACTTGGAGAAATGGTGCTAATGACCGAGACAGGAAAAACAGGTGACTGGGGCTGGGAGTCAGTGTCAAGGGGCAGGCTGGGAGGCACGTGGAGAAAGAAAAGTCAACTTCCCCAACTAGCCCGGAGAACCAGGGTGAGGAGGGGACTGCCATGGCTTCCAGTGGTGGTGTCTAGAGTGCTGACCTTTGTCATGAGGCCATCTTGATAACCAAAGGTGGCAATCTCTGTGCTTGGCAGTTATTGTGCTGTTCCCAGACACTTGGAATTCTCAGTCTTTGATGTCCAGCCCTCCTCTTTTCTGTGACTTCTTGATGCAATTGTTTCTCACCCAGGCACCTCATGCTCACCCATTTGTCCTTATTTCTTCTTTCAATCCCCCAAAGAAACTCAGTTTGAATTAATAGGCAACCTTTCGAGATGGGGTCTGAGTACCCACATGAAGAATACAGAGAGTTAAGGTGGACTCGTCCAATGCTAACCTCACTCTCTGGAGTCATTTTCAAAGGGGGTCCTCCAACTGGGTTTCAGGATTGTGGGAGCTTTGGTCTTATCTTGTGGCCTAGGGTGGCCACACAGTCTGCTTCCTCATCAGCGCCACCCAACCTTTCTATGTCTCTGAGTTTTTCATCTGTCTGAAAACTATACTGTGACTTCAGTGTTTTCCCTCATCTCTTTCCCATAGACTCATTTGTTTTCTTTATTTTTCTCAAGCTGGCCATCAATAATTCACTTGTAATATGCCATCCTTGTAAGATGGCTCCTTCCTTTTTTTCTTATCTGTGATTTCTGCCATGAACACATGCAGAAATATTAATAAACATTTAGTGGTAATAAAATAGTTCTTAGGAAGAGCATGTTTACCCATATTTTACATATAATAATTTCTTATATCCTATTTGTACCTTTATATTGATATATTCCACAGCACTTAAGTAAAGACAGCTTTTAATAGAAACTGTAGATTTATTATGAAACCATATTATTATATACATACAGTTTTATTATACAGAAATAATTAGACACTGCCATTTTAGTTGAATTTTCCTGAAGATCAGATAGCAAATGTTATTCATTAATTCAAGTTTTCCTTTGTTTTAAGAACATTTTTCTTAAAAATATTTAATAATGACTGCAGTCATGAGAGAAGGAAAACATGAATAGAAAAGCAAAGAGCTTGGCTCTGTGAAGTCAAGAAAAGTGTAACACAGAAATGAGAAAATAACTATGAGCTTTATAAAAGTGGTGTGCATTTTCACTTTGGAAAATTTTGGACAGTAAGGTCACATATATCACCTCTCATTGTGCTTGATAAACTCTGAATAATTAATGTAAGTCCATATACAAATAACAACCATTGGAGAATCTAATTTGCATATCTCTATGACATCATTGGTCTGTATTGGAGAATCTGCGCAGTGCTATGTGTAATTCTTACTGGCCATTGCCATATTTATATTTCTGGTAAGTTTAGTATTTCATTCTCAATGGTTATCAGTTATTCACCATGAAACTTCTTAAAGGTCACTTAACTATTGTCATAGTTTCATTTCTTTTGTCAGGGTGAGCAAAGAGTTTATTTGGCTGGCAATTCTAGGTTATAGTTCATAGCAGAGAAGTCAGAAGCAGGATCTGGTCACACCACATCCGCAAGTCAAGAACAGAGTGAAACAAATGCAACCTGTTTGTTCACTGCTAGCTTTCATTGATCTCACATAACTCAAGTCCCAGCCTAGGCAATAGTGCCACCCATACGGTGTCTTTCTATATCAGTTATCAAGGTAATACCCCACAGACATTCCCACAGGCAAACCTGACTTATGTAATTCCTCAGTTGAGGTTCTGGTCACAGGTGATTCTAAGTTGCGACAAACTTGGACTCAACGTCAGTTGAACTATTGCCTCTTTTATTTCAAATAACAATATTTCACAAGTTAGGAAATTGTATAGAGTAGCCATTTTGAAAAGTTATAGCAGTTTCAGATACTCATATTAATTACCAATTGAAACATGCTACTGTGTAAATCTCAGTATTGAATAAAATGATCCATACCTTCTCTTCTGAGTCCTGATTATTCTTTTGCTGAAGAATATATAAATCAAGAGTTATATTTTGGATATAATTTTATCATCACACTCCCTTTACCTACCCAACTTTTCAGATCTTAAATTTATTTAAATATCATGACTAGAATTCCCAAAATCATTTAGAATATACATGTGTGATTTAACATGGTCACATGGGTTGTGATGCCCATCTACTGTATAAAATCTAAAAACTTCTGTCAAAGCTTAATATACCATGAATCAGAAGTAGCCTTCTAATGCAGAGTGGTCAGAGTGTATGAAGAGGATCACAAGCCAGGCACAGTGTGATCACTTGCAGTCCCAGATACCAGTTGCCTAAAGTGGGAGAATTGCATGTTTAAAGCATTTGAGACACATGGTGAATTCATGACCAGCCTGAGCTCTGTAGTATGTCCAAAACGAAAAAACAAAACAAAACATCTTAACAGTGAGCATTTTTGTGGTAGAAACCCCATTAAATGCTTTATGAGTGTTATTGTTGAATTGTCCCAGTATGTCCTGTGAGATGAGTATATTTTGATCACCTTATGATTGAGGGATTTATGTGTGGCGATGGAATAATGGGTAGCTGATAAGTATTGTCCATATGTCAGAAGAAAATTACTTACTGACATAATAATGTTTACAGTTACATGAATACTTGTGTGCCTTTGACTTAGTCTTATATAAATTCTTAAAAAGTCCTCATTTCTACAGAACACCTTTGCATTATGCCTGTGCACATGGCCATCCTGATGTAGTGACCCTCCTACTACAATGGAATTGCGACATTGAGCTCCGTGACAGTTACAACAGCACAGCGCTAATTAAGGTAGATAGTAGCCAACAGTTTCAGTATGACATGGATTTGCTGTAAATGCTGAGAATAAACATGATTTTTTCTCAACTAAATGCAAATAATTAGTGAAATCCATGGAATGCTCATCTTGAATTTCTTATCTTTCCAATGTATTACTTGATGTGATACCCACAGGCTGCACAGTATGGCCATGAAGCATGTTTGACAATTTTATTAGAACATGGTGCCGACCCAAATGCAATTGACAACAATGGGAGTGCAGCTCTGCACTATGCCGTTTACAGAGAGTGCATCTCAATGGTAACGATCCTTCTGGAATACAAGGCCGATACCAGTATAACGAACAAGGTAGAGACTACACAGCTTTGATTTCCAAATTATTTGGACTGGGTTTGCTTTACAAAGATTCACCAAATCTAATAAGGCCTGACATGGATATTTAAAAGTATTTTCATTGAAATTCTGATACAACTATGACATAAGAATCTCTGAAAAGGTAAGTTTAATATATGAATTCTCAGATTTCAGGAAGTTAAAACATCTCTAGAAGAGTGGGGTTTGATGGGAACTCCTTCCTTCCCAATGACATTTCACACTTTCCTTTGATTACATGGTTACTTCTGGGATGAATGTTATAAAGAGAATTGCTGGCAATATTACCCTGGCAGTTGTAAATATATAATCACAGAACTCATGAAAATGCTGACAGAAACCTTCTGGCTTTTTCATTTCTTGGTTTATGAGACAGGATGTCATATAGTCCAGGTGGGCCTTGAACTTTTTATGTAGATGAGGATGGCACTGGTCTTCCTACATTCATCTCTGAAATGATGGGCTTATGGATACTCTCCATCATGCCTCTCTCTGTGTTTGTGTAGCTCTGGTTGTCCTGGAACTCTGTCTCAGCCTTTCAAATGCTGAGGCTAATGGCATTCTCTCCCACACCCAGTTAGGTTAGTGGTTTTCATTGTGCTAAAATGACCCACATGGATGATTATCAGATTTTGTACTGATAAAAATTATATTTTATTTCTCATTTGTATTTTGCCTAAAAGTAAAAGTAACTTTAAGTGGTAACTAAAAAGGAAGTGACCTAAAAATAAATTTTAAATAGATGTGTGTCCGATGTGTATAAGAGATCTTACCAATGAGATATTACTCTTCTTGTGATGGGAAAAATTCCCATGGACCTTTTACTAATAAGCCACCAAAGTTCCTTTGCATCCCATGCCATCTAATTTACAACCTTGTCCTTAGTGATCCATTTGGAGCAGAGTGTCTGCTGTGGGTTCCTGTTACTGTAAATAGAAAGAGTCTACTGAGCTCTTCCACTGCCTGGTAGAAATGTAGTTGTTTCTGGAATTCTGTCAAGGCCAGGACACTGAATGTTTGCCACAAAAGCTGATATAAAGACTACACATATGTCTCCATATTTCATACTGGACCTGTCCTGCTCAAGTTTATCTTTCAGATTAACATAACATATATGTGAGAGATGGCATTTCTGGGAAAGTAAATATTCTTTTGGAATACTATTTGATGTTTGGGGCATTAGAGGTAAAAGACAGCTCCCATCCTCAAGAAGCTTTGGTTTAGCTGGGAGCAATCACATCCTCCATAATTACATGGTAAATGCCAAGGTGGAGGCAAAGCTCAGGGAGCTAGCTCATGCTTGAATGAGTGTGGGGAGAAAGCACTGGTGTTCATGGGCAGCTCCAGGTAGGCAGAGGCTTTTCCAAGGGCAGAGCAGCAGGTGGAAAAGCAATGTGGGGTGGGAAGGCCCAGGCTGTGGTTCACGGAGCCCTCAGCAGACACTAAGCTTCACTGTATCTTCCATCTGATTTCCAGTTATTGTGAGAAATACAAAGTCCTGAGAATCCTGAGTTGTTGTTTCTTTCCCCAATAGGATGGCGTTTCACCCCTTATACTGGCTCAACAGGGAAGCAATGAGAGCCTGATAAAATTGTTAGCAGGCAAGGACACAGTAAAAAGGACAGAAGAAGCTGAGGAACCAGAGAGGTAAGGGTAATTCTTTTATATTTTTTTCTTCGTGGTATTCTATAGTGGGTACAATCACTCAAGCCCAAACCTTTAAGTAGGTATGAAGAACAATTAGACATTCTTAGTAGGATGCCAAGACATACTTTCAATTATATAGAGAGGCAATTATACAGACTGAGCAACACTAAAAAGAGCATAGCAGTGTAACATGGAAAATAAATGAACTCATAGACAGATATTGTGGTTCAAACCTCAAACTGAAGATGAGAAAAGCAAAGCAGTCAGCCACTAGCCTCAAACTGAAGCTCAGGCTGAAAGGGATGATCCATGAAGGAGCTCTTCACCAAGTCTCAAACTGCTGACTCTCCTCAGTTTGTCAGGAGAATGAATGCCTGCTCTGAGCCTTATTTTCAGTGTGGCCAGTGAATCAACGCCTCCTACTGAATACTGAAGACCCTCCTTGTGTCTTTTATACCCCTCTAGTGCTGGGATTAAAAAAGGCATGTGATCTGTTACTCTTTCAGACTGATTCAATCTCATGTATCTTCAGTGGCCTTGAACTCAGAGAGATTGGTCTACCTCTTAATCCTGTGTCCTAGGATTAAAGGTGTGTACCACTATGTCCTAGCTTCTGCCTTCTGGGGTTAAAGATGCATGCCTGGCTGCTGGATCCTCCAGCAGGTAGAGCAGGGGAAGGACCGCTCCAGTCAGTCTCATTCCAGGGCTGAGCAGGATGGTGAGTGCCAATGACTCAGACCCCCTCACCCCAACTAGTTACAGGGGAGAAAATACACACTGAGTCTGAAGCTTGTTGACGCAGCATCTCGATTTATTCCAACAGGCAGGAATTTATATAGGGCTGAGGTAGGGGTGGGAATCTTAGGATAGGGTAAGGTGATGTGAGGCGTAAGGGCAAATAATATTCCAACAAGCTGGCAGGTAGCTAGGCAGGCGGCAGTCTTACATCAGGCCTTGCTGAGTCACCCTCACATGGAGGTTACAGGCCAGAGACAGGCCGCCAAACTCTAGCCAAGCTCAGAAGGTTAGACTGGGCCTCACATCCAAGCCTTTTTAAGCCCAACATCTGGCTTCCATGGCTTCTGGCTGGCTTTTCTTTCTGAAGCCCTAGGCAGGTTTTACTAAATCATAAATAATATATCACCCATTTTTGTCTAATACAAAAAGAGGCTACAACTAACATGAGAAAAATTATACACATTTAGTATATACAATAGATACAACAAGTTCATCCACAATGTCTAGTCCTTTTGTATTTTACAAATACAGAGAAAATATCTTAATCCATTTGCATTTGACAAATTCAGAAAATACTTCATTATTCTATCTTGGTTGACTTCAAAGTCGTGTACCAATTAATATTCTATTCTAATTTGCATTATCAAATTGTCTTTTAATGTCTCTCAACCTTTTACACTTTACATATCTTTAGTGAATGTCTTTTCTGAGTCTGGAAGACAATAAAAACTATAACTGTCTAGTCTTCAACTCCCACAGAGACCCTAGAAGGAAATAATATTAACTGAGTAAGCAGGGAGTTCGAGCAAGAGGCTTCCAAAAATGTGAGAAATAACAGAAGCAGCTGGCTACCTTGACAGTCACCCAAGGTTCTTCTGCAATGTTGGGGCATGTATCTTCTGCCTATAAGTCTCTGATAGACTTTTCTGTGAAGCAGGATTCCCCTAAGGACTATCCTGCCTTGCCTTGGCAAGGTTTTGTAGTCACTCTTTTTTGTGTCCTGTTTGTCCAACTTGGACAGCACTTTGTCAGCAGTTGAGGCAACTGCACTTTCTTGTCCAGTGGCTTACCTTTACCACAAAGAAAGTAAACTCCATGTGAGTTTCTTTCATGCTCATCATCTTCTCTTAAGTAGATTGGTGCTGCCAGGAGCAGACATATTTCATTGTCATAAAAAGTGCCTATGTTGGGCCAGCCTTTCTAGTGCCTTGCAGGAACCACCTGAGGCCTGGAGACTGCGCACTGAGGATCCCATCCTGGCAGGGTCCACCCCACCCAGAGACTGCCAGCATCCTAGTCCCTTTCTCTACCCATGGGACTAGGTAAGCCTGGGCCTGTTTCAGTCCCACCTTCAGTGCTTTGCTTGGAGTCAGCTGAGGCCTGGGGACTACTCACTGTGAATCCCATCCTGATGGGGTCCAGCCCACCCTGAGATTGCCAAGACCCCAGTACTAGGACTGCCTCTATCCACAAGAAGAGGAGAACCACCAGAATATTGGACCTGCTTGTACCCACTGGCAGGGAACCTTGGTCCCATAGCCACCAGGAGAGGAAGAGACTCCTTCTGGACCTAATGGAAGAAGATATCACAAGGAGAAAATATAAAAACACACTCAGCAACAGAAAAACCAATATGACACTGCCAGAGTCTAGAGAATCTACACCAGCAAGACCTGAAAATCCCAACGCAGTTGAAGCAGAAGAGAATGACCTTAAAGACAACTTCATGAAAATGATAGAAGCTTTCAAAGAGGATATGAAAAAAAACCCTTAAAGAAATGAAAGAAAAAACAAACCAAAAATTAAAGAAATGGAGGAAAAGACAAAGCAAAAATTGCAAGAAACAATTAAAACACTGCAAGGGTTGAAAGCTGATACAGAGACAATAAAAAATTACACAATAAAATACTGGCAAATCAAATCCAATAACACATAAGAAAAATCATCCACCATGATCAAGTATGCTTTATCCCAGGGATGCAGGGATGGTTCAACATATGAAAATCCACCAATGTAATTCACCATATAAACAATCTGAAAAAGAAAAAAAACACATGATCATCTCACTAGATGCTGAAAAAGCCTTTGACAAAATCCAATACCCCTTCACGATAAAGGTCTTGGAGAGATCAGGGATAACAGGAACATACCTAAACATAATAAAGGCAAAATACAGCAAACTGACAGTCAATATCAAATTAAATGGAGAGAAACTCAATGAGATTACTCTAAAATCAGGAACAAGACATGGTTGTCCACTCTCTCCATAACTATTCAATATTGTACTTGAAGTTCTAGCTAGAGCAATAAGACAACAAAAGGAGATCAAGGGGATTCAAATTGTAAAAGAAGAAGTCAAACATTCACTATTTGCAGATGATATGATAGTTTACATAAGTGACCTGAAAAACTCTACCAGGGAACTCCTAGAGCTGATAAACACCTTCAGCAAAGTGGCAGGATACAAGATCAACTCAAAAAAATTAGGAGCCGAACTATATACAGATGACAAATGGGCTGAGAAGGAAATCAGAGAAACATCACTCTTTACAGTTGCCACAAATAACATAAAATACCTTGATGTACCACTAACCAAACAAGTGAAAGACCTAGTAGACCCAGGTCTTTAAAGAAAGAAATTAAAGAAGATACCAGAAAATGGAAAGATTTAGCATGATCTTGCATGGGTAAGATCAATATAGTAAAAATGACAATCTTGCCAAAAGCAATCTACAGATTCAGTGCAATCCTCATCAAATTCCAGCACAATTCTTCACAGACCTTGAAAGAACAATTATCAACTTTATATAAAAAAAACCCAAAGACCCAGGATAGCCAAAACAACCCTGTACAATAAAGGAACGTCCGGAGGCATCAGCATCCCTGACTTCAAGCTCTATTATAGATCTATAGTCCCTGAAAACAGCTTGGTATTGGCACAAAAATAGACAGGTAGACCAATGAAATTGAATTGAAGACCCTGATATTAGCTCACATACCTATGAACATGTGATTTTTGACAAAGAACCTAAAATTATACAATGGAAAAAGAAAATATCTTCAACAAATGGTGCTGGCATAACTGGATGCTGGCATGTAGAAGACTGCAGATAGATCCATGCACAAAACTTAAGTCCAAATGGATCAAAGGCCTCAACATAAATCCAGCCACACTGAAACTCTTAGAAGAAAGAGAAGTAGGTGATACCCTTGAATGAATTGATACAGGAGACCATTTCCTGAACATAACATAACATAACATCAGTAGCACAGACACTGAGATCAACAATTAATAAATGGGACGTCTGAAACAGAAGCTTTTGAAAAGCAAAGGACACAGTCAACAAGACAAAACGGCAGCCAACAGAATGGGAAAAGCTATTCACCAACCCCACATCTGACAGAGGGTTGATCTCTAAAATTTATAAAGAACTCAAGAAGCAAGTCTCCAAAACACCAAAGGAGCCAATTAAAAAGTGGGGTATGGAACTAAACAGAGAATTTTCAATAGAGGAATCTAAAATGGCTGGGAGACACATAAGAAAGTGCTTAACATCCTTAGCCATCAGGTAAATGCAAATCAAAACAACGCTGAGATACCATCTCACTCCTGTCAGAATGGCTAAAATCAAAAACACCAATGAAAGTTTATGCTGGAGAGGATGTGGAGACAAGGGAACACTGCTTCACTGCTGGTTGGAGTGCAAACTCATACAGTTACTTTGGAAATCAGTATGGCAGTTCCTCAGGAAAATGGGAATCAGTGTACCACAAGATGGAGCAATTCCACTCATAGGCATATACCTAAAAGATGCACATTCATACAACAAGAACATCTGTTCAACCATGTTCATAGAGGCATTATTTGTAATAGCCAGAACCTGGAGGCCACCTAGATGTCCCTCAACTGAAGAATGGATGGAGAAAATGTGGTACAATTGCATAATAGAGTACTACTCAGGGCAAAAAAAACCCCACAATGTAATCTTGAAATTCGTAGGCAAATGGATGGAACTAGAAGAAACCACCCTGAGTGAGGTAACCCAGTCACAAAAAGACAAAAATGGTATTTACTCACTCATGTATGAATTTTAGACTTAGAGCAAAGGAGTACCAGCCTACAATCCACACCACCAGAGAAACTAAGAAACAAGGAGAACCCTAAGAGGGATAGACATACATGGTCTCCAAGAGATGGGGAAAGGGACACAATCTCCTGAGCTAAATGGGAGCATGGGGGGAGGGGAGCGGGAGATAGAAGAAAGAGAAGGGGAGAAGAGGAGGGGAGAGGAGGACAGGAGAGAGCAGGAAGATGGAGTCAGGGGAAGAATAGAGGAGAGCAAGAAAACAGATACCATAATAGAGGGAGCCATTATATGTTTAAAGAGAAATATGGCACAAGAAAAAATGTCCAGAGATCTACAAGATTGACCCCAACTAACACTCTAAGCAATAGTCGAAAGCTACCGTAAATGCCCTTCTCTGATATTGAGACTGGTGAATACTTTATATTCCATCCTAGAGCCTTTATCCAGTAGCTGATGGAAACAGAAGCAGACACCCAGAGCTAAACACTGAGATGAACTCTGGAATCCAGTTGTAGAGAGGGAGGAGTGATGAGCAAAGGGGTCAAGACCAGACTGGACAAACCCACAGAAACAGCTGACCTAAACAAGGGGTTTCTCATGGACCCCAGACTGACAGCTGGGAAACCCGCATAGAACTGTTCTAGAACCCCTGAATGAGGATGTCAGTTTGGAGGTCTGGTTAATCTTTCGGGCCTCTGGTAATGGATCAGTATTTATCCCTAGTACACGAATGGACATTGGGAGCTCACTCCACATAGAGCATGCTCTCTCAGCCTAGACGCACGGGGGAGGATCTAGGCTCTGCTCCAAATGATATGATAGACTTTGCAGATCTCCCATGGAAGGCCTCACTCTCCCTGGGGAGCATAAGGGGATGGGATAGGGGATTGGTGGGGGGCAGGAGAGGAGGCAAGGGAGAGGGAACTGGGATTGGCATGTAAAACAAGCTTGTTTCTAATTTAAATTAAAAAAGGAAAAAAATGACAGCAGATACTGGTGCGGACATAGGGAAAGAGGGACACTATTCATTGCTGGTGTGAGTGCAAACTGGTACAACTGCGATGGACAGCAGTGTGGAGGTGCCTCAAAAAGCTGGAAATAGATCCACTGCCAGATCTAGCTGTATCACTTCTATCTGATACCCAAAGGACCAAACATCTTACCACAGAGATACTTTCTTACACATGGTCACTGCTGCTCCATTCACCATAGTCAAAAATTAGATTAATCCAAGATGTCTGTCAACTGATGCATGACTAATGAAAATGTGGCATATTTACACAGTGTTGTATTATTCAGCTGCTAAGAGAGACAAAAAATTTGAAATTTGCAGGAAACTAGATGGAGCTACAATGTATTTGTTTGACCTTGAAGACATTACCTAATGTGATTGTAAGGTGGATTGTAATAGGTGGCTAACTAGAACTGTGAATGATGCTTTCCTGAATATTTGGGAGTAGTGAGGGTAGAATGTGATAACCAAAAGCTTACTTAAACCGCAAGTGGAATCCCTTCAGTGCAGAAACACATTTAACACACAGCAGCCCTGCACACCACAGTGTGTTAGAGAAACAAACTCAACCATGTATATTATACGTTTTTTTTTCTCTGAAGGACACCGGGTGGATCCAACTCCCACGGTTCCAGTTCACCAAAAGAATTCAAAGATAAGGTAAAGTGTCTGTTCATGGATTTAATTTCCTGATCTGAACTGGGATTGTGTGACTCTTACTTTTCAATGTTCCAATGGCTCACCTACCACCATTTTATTTCACTTTATTGTATCGGTTTTTCAAGATAAGGTTTTGTGGTAATATATCATTTAAGATTTATTAAAGCTTGCCTGGGGATTCAGAAGCAAAGTTGCCTCAAGTTGTAGAGATCAGGCATTGATGGTACATACTTTTAATCCCAGGACTCAGGAGACAAAGGCAGATGGATCTCTGAGTTCAAGGCCACCCAGGGTTCAGTGAGATTGAATCAGTCTAAATGAGCAGCAGAGCTCACACCTTTAATCAAAGAACTAGAGATGTATGAAAGATAGGAGCAGGGTCTTTAGGAGTCAGTCTCAGGATTCTCCAGCCACGTTGATTAGAGCATAGAAGTCTGGGATTGTAGTGTGAGGTTTGATGGAGCCAGGATCACCTTTCAGCCTGAGGCAGAGGTAAGAGTTAGTGGCCTGGCTGTTTTACTTTTCTGATCTTGAGTTTGAAGTTTGGACCCCAGTATCAGTCCCTGGGTCTTTTATTTTTCATGCTACAGGGTTTCTCTGTTACTTTGAAGCCTGTTCCAGAAGTCACTCTGTAGACCAGGCTGGCCTCAAACTCACAGAGACCTGCCTGCCTCTGCCTCCCAAGTGCTGGGATTAAAGGTGTGCACCTGTCCCCACTTTATTCAGACAGTTTGTTAAGGAAAATTATTTCCTGGAACTATGCATGATATGGCTTATTTTCCTGGCATACGATTTTTATGCTGTTAGTTAATTATCCTGATTTCACTATCTCACCGTTCCTTGTGCTATTCTTTTTGAAAACATTTACTAATTGACCCTATTTTACAGAAATTACTTATAGTTGCTTCTATATCTGAGTCTGTCTATGACCATTCTGACTCATGGTGTTTTGCTTCTTCAATACTTGTCTGCATAAAGAATTCAGCTCTCAGTTGTGTCTGATGGAGCATGCCTTTAATGCCAGCACTTGGGAGGCAGAGGCAGGTGGATCTCTTAATTTGAAGCCATCCTAATTTACAGAGCCCAGGACAGGCAGGGTTACACAAAGAAACTTTGTCTGGACAAAACAAACGAACCCCCCACACACTTTAGCCTTTAAATTTACATTGCCTTGGTTATCTGTACAGGAGAGAAAATGTTGTCCACTTGTGAATTTACATGTGGTGAGATAAATATCTTACAGAGATGTTACTTATCCTCAATTGTAACATGAAAAATAAAAGACCCAGAGACTGATACTGGGGTTCAAACTTCAAGCTGAAGAACAGAAGAGCAAAGTAGCAGGCCACTAGCTCTCACCTCTAGCTCAGGCTGCTTGGGCTGATCCTGCTGTCTCTCCTCAGCATGTCTGGAGAATCTTCAATGTGGCTGGAGAATGAATGCTCTATATTGAGACCTTGCTACTGTTTTATATACCTCAAGTGAGTTCTGGGATAAAGGATGTGAGCTATAATTCTCTTATAGACTGATTCAATATTGATTAGATCTGGGTAACCTTGAATTCACATTGCTCCATCTACTTCTGAGTCCTAGGATTAAAGGCATGTACCACTACTTCCTCGATTCTGGCTTCTGGGATTAAAGGTGTGTGCCCGGCTGCTGTGGCTTTTTGCTGATCTTGCTTTCTGAGTCCTAAGGGAAGCTTTAATAAGTCATAAATAATATATCACCACACTCAATAGCTTTTACTAAACAGAATTATAGTTATCACTAGAGAACATATTAACAATTTATTTTGGAGATATAGTAATAATATTTAATGTATAATAAAGATGTATATTAATACAGATGTTTAGCTATATATATGTGTGTGTATATATAGACATATAGTGTATATAGTACAATAATATAGATGTATAATAATGTAAATGATGCAGTTGTGCTCACGCAGCCTCTATGCTGCAGGTGGACTCAGTCTCCTTGACTTTAAGAAGTGGAACTGGTTCATTCAACAAACACTCTTGACATTGATGTCAGTGACAAGAGTGAAATTTCCTTCAGTCAAGTCATATTCACTGCATTTTCTATGCCTGTTCTTCCATGGACACATGAGGAATTACTATTATCATTTAAAAATTAGATTTAATTAACCAACTAATTTGTTGTGTGTTGTCATGTGGCTGCCATGGTGATTACAGAAATCAGAGAACAACTTGTAGGATTTGGATCCCTTCTCCCACCAAGTATGTTCTAGGCACTGGACTCCATGGACCTATTTGCCAGTCCAAGATATATATACACACACACATATTTTCCCAGTGCTGGGGATAGAACATAGTACCTTGGGAATACCAGGCAAAAACTCTAACATTGAGCTACACTCTAACAAGCACTTTGTGACTTCTATTAATAATGCTAATAAGGATATTGTTACTTGGATATTTGTTTGAATTCTTGATAAAACTCTATCATGATTTTTAAAAATAATGTTATTTAAAATTCAAAAATCTCAAACATATGTATAATTTATTTTGAGCATATACTTCCATTTTCCCCTTCCAAGATTCCCTAGAGCCCCCCTTAACATGTTCTTCTCCCAAATTCATGTTTCCTCCTCTCCGTTTTCTTCTACCCCTCCCATAGTTGGAATTTTCTTTGGGTCACCAACCAGCCCCCAAATAAAGACATGGAGATTTATTGTTAATTACGAATGCTCAGCATTAGCTTAGGCCTGTCGCACTAACTCTCTCTCTCTCTCTCTCTCTCTGTCTCTGTCTCTCTCCCTCTCTCTCTCTCTCTCTCTCTCTCTCTCTCTCTCTCTCTCGTTATTTGAGACAGGGTTTCTCTGTATTGTTTTGGAGGCTGTCCTGAAACTCACTCTGTAGACCACGCTGGTCTCGAACTCACAGAGATTCACCTGCCTCTGCCTCTGGAGTGCTGGGATTAAAGGCGTGCGCCACCGAAGCCCGGCTTCCCACTAGCTCTCTTAATTTAACTTGTTTCTATTCATCTACATTTCCTCTGGATTGTTTTCTTACATTTCTTTCATCCTATGTGTCCTACTTTCCTGTTTCCTCCATGTCTGTCTGGACCTCAGTGTCTCCCTGGCATCTCTTTTCCTTTCCTCCCCAGAGCTTAAATTCCTCCTTCTACTTACTGTCTCTACCTGGAAATCCCACCTATACCTCCTCCTCTGATATTGGCCATTCAGTTTTTTATTAGACCAATCAGGTGCCTTAGGCAGGCAAGGTAAAACAGCAACACATCTTTATGTAGTTTAACAAATGCAACACATCTTTGCACAGGTAAACAAATATCCAACAACACCTTTCTCCTCCTCTTTCTCCTCTGTTTCCTCCACTTTTAGTTATTCCACTGAGTATAATTAATGCTGTTCATATATTTATAGCTATGAGGCTATCTCTTCTGTAGTGTAGTCAACCTACCATTGTTTACATTCCCAAAGGAAAAAAAATAATCTCCCCCAGCAGTCATCAACCATCAATTGCTCCTTAGCTAAGGGTGGGGCCTCATGAGCCACTCTCCTGTAATTCTGTAATTTTGACTACTTTTATTTTCTACAAGTCATGTGCCGGTAACCATAGCTGCTTCGGGTTCATGACTATAACAACTATCTTACGTCAAGAAGAAAACATTCCTCCCTGTTCTCTGGCTCTTATGTTTCCCAATTCCCAATTCCCAATTCACATTGCCTTCAGTGTTCTCTGTGCTTGGGGCATGTTATAGATGCCCCACTTAGGGTTGAGCATGCACAGTCTTCTATTCTTGTCTCTTTGAGCAAGTCTACGTCTCTGCACTAATTGATGCTCCTGCATAAAGAAGCTTCTCTCACTTGTTGCTACTCTAGTTGGCAGCATGAACCTGGGAGAACTGGGCCTAAAAATGAGGCAGACTAAAGTCTTGTGCAATAATCCACTTTATTCAGAGAATCAGGCAATTTATACTCCGAGGGCTAAGAAAAATCACGTGAGTAAGGTGTTCAATCACAAGGACAAGTCACACGTGACAAAAATACATTTTGCCATGGAGGTTAGTGAATAACAACACCTGAAGTAAACTCACTCCTATCTGCTACCCCTAGGGGGAGCATGGAAACACATTCCCAGAACATTTCTGTGTTTTGATGAAAATGAGGTCACAAGGCTCTTGTCCTATTTTCTTATAAGCCTCAGCATTCTCGCACAACTCTGTTTCTGGACTCTGTTCCAACACTAACCGGGCTTGAGAGTAGCACAGATATACGGGTATAAACACTAATATTTAGAAGGCTGTTTGATAACATGACAATTTAGCAATGGTCTCTTCCTTTTCGATCAAACAGAAACAAGACAAATGATATAAGTATTGATGCCATGTAATGATGCAGTTAAACTGAATATAACGTCATGCTTTCTATTTTTTAAAGTTATTTTTCTTTGTGTGTATGTCTGTCTTCCACATCTGTATGTGGCTAAGGTGGCCAGAAGAGGGAGCTAGAGTTACAGGCAGTTGTGAGCAGCTGGCCCTGAGGGCTGGGAACCAAAGTTGTTCCCTTTGGAAGAACATGAAAGTCTCTTAAGCATCGAGAGCCTCCCTCATCCCACAAAGTAGTTTTTATGAAGGAAAATTGTGGAAACTAATGAGTCAAGTGGTGAAATTAATGAAAAAGTTTTTATATTAAAGAACATCAGTTATTGGGCTGGAGAGATGGCTCAGCAGTTAAGAGCACTGGACTGGCTACTCTTTCTTTTCTTTTCTTTTTGGTTTTACGAGACAGGGTTTTTCTGTATTGTTTTGGAGGCTGTCAGTCCAGCCCAGCCTGGAACTCACAGAGATCCGCCTGCCGCTGCCTCCCGAGTGCTGGGATTAAAGGCGTGTGCCACACTGCCCTGCTTCTGGCCACTCTTTCAGAGGACCCCAGCACCCACATGGTGGTTGGCAACTATCTGTCACTCCAGTCCCGTGGGATTAGATGCCCCCTTCTGGCTTCTGAGAGCATGGGACGTGTACATACTGCACAGGCATACATGCAGACAAGACACTCATACACATAAAATATTTTTTAAAAATTAAAATTAGTTATTCTTAATATCAAACTGTTATCAAAGGTCACAGAAAAAACTGTGGAGCACAATGTCAACGAGGTGGATACGTCAGAAAACCTGAATCGTGGTGCTGCAACTTCAGTTCTTCAAGCACTTGATGAAAAGGCTAAAGACCAAGTGGAGAACCAAGTAGAGCATGGGTAAGGCTACAGTGATTATTTAACAGCAGACCCTATTCTCCACTGAAGCGTGTGTGCCTGATGAACATGTCCTATACTTCTTACACCTGGGACACTCTGTCTTGCATGATCATAAGATGTTAATCAACAACCAGATGCTATTATTTCCCATTCTGCTGACATGTTTTATTAAAATGGCAAACAGGGTTGGCAAGTTTGAGAATAAAGCATTTGCAAGCACTGTCATTGAAATCAGTGAACAGATTTTGAAGGGTAATTTATTATGTGTGGCATGTATCAGAATTTCAAATGTTTTACTCTTTTAAACCTAATTGTTTACTCAGGAAGTAGATCATTCTGAGATGGAAAAATATTGCTTGTGAAGACATATGTATACATGATGTTAAAGATATTTATGTGTTTTATACTACAGGTGACTCTATATATTACATGTACATATCAAGGGTATATAATATACATAATAAACACACTTATAACAATGTGTTTCATATGTGTGTATGCTGAGGGTGTGGCTATTCATGGTGAAATCATAAATTTTGTAGGTTCTCTAAACAGTCATAAAGATACTGAAGTTGTCACATTCATAGACTAATGTATTTTAAAGTTTTTACATGAAAGCTTTAGAATATGGTTGCATGGTGTCAGACTGATCTAGCAGAGAAGAGCATGTTTATTCAATTTGTTATGTTTTGATGTCTAAACATTAGAAATCTTAATACATTGCCTTGGGAGATTTACACTAGACAAGGTCCTTGGAACTTGTATTCATACTTGTATTTCTATGGTAGGAGGTTATTGTTGGGTTAGAATATTTTCATCTAATTCAATATAGAAGCTGTAAGTTCAAAAATGAACTATCACACATAGATTTTTAAAAATTAAAAATTCATGTTGCCCACTGTTAAAATTTGAAAAAAATAGTAGCTTGGTGCAAAAATAAAAATCATATTCCTATTCATTGCAAAAATTATGTGTAAGAAAATATGTACATTGTCTATGCAGAATGGAATTTAACTATTCATTAAGGGATTTCATAGTATCATCATGAGTAGCTATAATTTAATCAGATGTAACAACTAAATTTATTAAGTGACAACTTAGTTTAGTTAGCAGGTGTCCAAAATTGTCTAAGTTAAAGTAGTCTTATGATTGTTTATGTATCTATTCATGAATGTTGAGACCAAAGGACAGTCACCTGCCAGTCCTTAGGTACCATCCACCATATTGAGACACTGCCTCTCATTGGCATGGATTTCACCAGGAAGCTCCAGGGTTTTTGCCGTTTCTGTCTCCACAGGACTGATTACTGATTACAAGTGCACATGACCACACGCAAGTTTCAAGAAAATTATTGCTTTAAAACTTACTTGTGTGCATGTGTGTGTGCAGTATGCATGTGTACATCAGAGGACAATTTGCGGAAGTCACTTTTCTCATGCCACTGTGTGCATCCTGACTATTGAACTCACGTCTTCAGGATTGGCCGTGGGAGCTTTCAGCACTGAACTATCTCACCCACCCCACACCTAGCTTTCTAATTTGTCCTTTGGAGGGTTGAACCCAGATCCTCAGGTTTGTAAAGGGAAGACTTTACCAGTTGAGCCGTCATCAGCTCCATCCTGTAGCTTTAGAAAAAAATTCATGGTGGGCATGGTGGTTCCTGGGGCAGGAGAATTGGGAATTTTGACCACACAGACAGTTTCTCAGAAAAAAAAACTTAGTCTATGGCCATATGACACTAAATGAGCCGGATTTCATCTGCTCTCAGAAGTCAAGCATGGTCACCTGTGGTTAATACTTGGATGTGGGAACTCCCCAGATTATTTACAATCCTATGTTGTTAGCTGTAATTATACTAAAATAGGATGAGAATATGGATTAATCTTTTATTATGTCTCTTAAAGTCATCTGAAGATGATTATGACTTTCCACCATATAATATGGAAGTTCTGGACTTGAATTCTAAATCTTCCACTCAGCCAGCTGCTGGGACTGTGGCAACACAGCCAGTCTCTGCCTATATTCTACCTTTACACAGTAGCTAATAGGCTGTGAAAACTAAAGTAAGTGAAACACAAGCCCAGTCCTTAGATAGTGAGTACCACCTGAGTCATAGTTCCCAAAGAAAAACTGCCTTATGTTCTGTCACTAAGTGTTCACCATGTATAAAGAAGAAAATACTATTTTAAAATGAGTTTTATTGACGAAAAATATTTTTGCTGAAAATTACAGTAGAAATCTTTGTGTATTTATTTCTATAAAATAATGCATTTTTGCCTTAACTGGTAGGATGATGAACTAAAACTTTTCATTTTATGATGGTGGTAGTGATAATACATTTCTGATTCCTAGTTCTCTTCCTGTTTACAATCCTATTCTCGCATATGTAGTCATTGTAGTTCATATAGTCATAACATATTATGGAAAGAAGGAAAATTGGAATTTGTGTTTAATACATTTGATACTTTTCTGAAAAAATTTTATGTTCTTGTAGGTCTGTGATGAAAACTGCAAAAGCAAAGGATGAGGTACAGAAAAATTAATTTAAAACAGCCTAATTAAAATACAGTATAAAACACAAGCCAATATATCATTAATTTAAAATATATTATGAGAGTAAAATTTAAAAACTGTATTTTTAGTCATATGTAGAAATTTTGAAAAAGATTATTAAGAAAAAGTATCCCTGGGGTGGCTGAGGAGGATGGCAGGGGAGGAGGAGAGGAAGAGTGAGGTGGGATTGACATGTGAAACAAGGTTGTTTCTAACTTAAATACAAAAGGAAGAGGGGAAAAAAGAAAGAGTAACCGATGTAAAGCTATCTTTTCTATGAAATATATATCTACGTTTTTTGTTGTTGTTGAGGCAAGGTCTCACTGTGTATCCCTGATTGGCCTGAAACTCACTACTTAGACCAGACTAGCCTGGAACTCATAGATATACACCAGCTTCTCCATCTTGAGATTAAAAGTGTGCATAACTACACCCAGAATATCTGTTTGGTAACATAAAAAACTGGATACTTCCCACACCTTTAGTGTTTGGTATAAATAATATATAAACATCTGAAATTGCTACTACTCATTTTGTAGGTCAAAGAAGTAATTAATAAGTGTGACCCTAATAAATTTGTCCCACATGAAAGAAATTCGGAGGACTGTGAGATGCCCAAGTTTGATAAGATCTTGTCACTCATAGAAGAGCTCATGAAGCAGAGCAAAGGTAAGAGTGCTTCATCGTGTGTGTGTGTGTGTGTGTGTGTGTGTGTGTGTGTGTGATAGAGATGAGTACACACTGCTTAGAGCTGCCCGATAGGATAAGGGTGTATTAGAGTGTTGTCATGTCACTGATTGGCTTTATATCAAAGAAGAGTGAGAGCTAGTCTCAGCAGGAGCTGACACCAAGCCCACTGAGCTTCAGTGAGTGAGTGCGGGTAGCTCACTGTGTTGTTGTTGTCATTTAGCATGTTGTGTGGTTTAGCATGCAGACTTACATGCTAAAACAACAGGCTTCAGGCTAGGCAGCCAACATATTGTGTAAATTAATTGCCCAGGATTCTGGGTGCTGAGAAGTCTAATCCCAGTCACTGGTGGACGTAACTGAGGGTATACTTACTTCCTCATGAGGAGGTTGTGCCTTTTTCTTGCATCTTCCCTGGGCTGGAGGAATGAAGCAGCTCCCTAGAGTCACTTTGATAAAGAATGCTAAAGCTCTTCATGGTGGCTCTGCCCGCACCATATAACCGGCTCCTCACAGCCCCAACTGACAATACCACCAGTGCTGTGGTTACACTGCATAATGCAGATTTTGAGGAGACACACTAAGATGACAGGTATTGTTCATTGGTTCCTTTCTTTTAATGAGTTTGTATTATATATTACCTTCTATATTTTCTTTTACAAATATTTTATTTTTACTAAGTGTGTGTGTGTGTGTGTGTGTGTGTGTGTGTGAATCTGAAGAGGGCATCAGATACAGGTAGTGTTTGCTATCATGTGGGTGCTGGGAACTGAATTTGGGTCCTCTATAAACCAAAAAATGTTCTTAACCACAGAATCACCTCTCATTCCTTCTTTTGTTTCTTAAAATGGGAGCAAAGTCATTGCCTTGTGAACCTAGTGGAAACATCCAGTGCTAATATTTTTAGTTCAGCCCTGCCACAGTTACATTCCACAAACTCTGGTTTCCTCTATTTTTATTTTTTTCAACCCCTAATACTTTGGGTTATGTTTTCAATACCCCCTTGTCACATAACTATTCTGTTACTTAATTTTCAGGTATTTGAATAGTTTCTAGGAGCATTTTTGGTTTTAGTCTCTCATTTGCTTGTTATTTTTGTTAAGAAAACATAGTTGGCATGGTTTGAATCATTTTGATTTAATCTTTTTGTTAGTTTTTATTGTATAGAATATACTCTGATGTTATATTCTTAGACCATGCTCTGTGTTTGGAAGAAAAATGTAGGTTGACACTATTTTTCCTGCTTCTCTCTCTACCTGTTCTGTCACTTGCCAAGTAAAGAGAATTGACATCTCACCTGGCACCCATGAATTTGTCTTTTTTTTTGGAAGTTCTATTTTGCTCCATGTCATTGGATGCTGAACTTGCTCCATCTACATTAGAACTTTGTGTCTTATCGGTTGTTGTCATGGAGTGGCCCTGTTTTTTTCCTTATGCTAAGTTTTGCTGTGAAGTTTACATTGATACAAACATTGCCAGTTATTCCAGCTAAGCCATGTTTTTAAGTATTAGAATGCTACATATTCCCCTTTTAAAAATTAATTAAAACATCATCTAGCTGTGTTTTGTGTTCGCATGCACACACCTGTGTTTCTGTACACCTGGTGTTAGGCCGTGTGTACCTGTGTACATGTATAGACCAGAGGAGAATTTTGGGTATCCTGCTCTATCATCCTGTAGCTTATTCCTTTGGGGTAGTGTTTCACTGAAGCTGAAACTAGGTTAGCATACTAGCGGCACTCCTCTTGTCTCCAGCTCTCAAAGTCTGGGATTCCAGCTGCACATGTATGATCTTACACAGCTTTTTATATGGGTGCTGGAGATTTGAACTCAGGTTCCTATGCTCAGACAACTAGCAAATGCTCTTATGCACTGAGCTATCTCTCATAACCCTGGTTGGATCTAATTTTTATCCACTTGTATATTTTTACCATTTTGGGGGTATTGGTTTTCATGTGTTCATGTGTGTGTGTGTGCATGTGTGCATGCAAGCACATTCATGTGTGTATGCATATCTGTACCTGTACCTATGTTATTTGATGCCAGGCATCTTTTCTCTATTCTCCACTATAATTTTTTGAGACAGCATGTCTCATTGAGCCTGACATTCCCTAATTCAGTTGGGTTAGCAAGCCAATGAACTTCAGGTGTCCTCCTGTCGGTGCCTCCCAGCATTAAGATGGCAGGATGTGCCATCATGCATAACTTAAAAAAGGATCTAAACTCAGATTTGGATAGCTTGCATAGTAAACACTTTAATGACTGAGACATTCTTCTTGATATCATCGTTTCACATATTTCACACCATTTTAACTTCATGTGTTTACTGATAAAAGGTTGATACATGAAGAATTTGTGTCAAGAATGCCATTCCACTGCATGGTAAAATAAATGCACATGTTTTCATTCTCCAAAAACTTAATCTTTTAAATTGGCTGACAATTGGAGGTCAGACCAAGAATCTAAACAGCTTCTACAGACAGATTTTCCATATTTAATATACAATATATATTGTGAGAGATACATAAATATTATGAGAAGTCACTTAATATAGTGGGCAATTTATTGAAAGGAAGAGAGCTGTCCATATATGAGTTATTCACATCATGTGACTTTTTCTTTATATTCTCATAAGCCTTGAGCTTACTACAGTGGCAACAAGCAGTGGCCATGAAATTTGTTCAGTATTGTAGCTATGCATCTTAGCATTGTTTACATTCTTGCCTTATGCACAGACTGTGACATCACTCAAGTTTTCTTAACTTAAAATGAAAAGAAAATCTTTATAGTAGTAAATGCTAAACTATTTAACAATGACCCATACACTCGTGATACACATTTATCTCGTTTGTAACATTTCTAGTTATGTGTCCCATCAGTAAATTGGGTTTCAAATAGTCTCATGAGACTGCACAGATCTATTTGTGTTGCTCAAAGGTGATCCCATTAGGTTGCTGTTGTCATGCTATCTGATGTCTGCTAGTTGGTATCTCTACAAGGAAAGTTTGTTTAAAATTATCTTTCATGTTGTACCTATATTTCCTCATTTTATTATTGGTGCATGTTGTTTATACATAGTTTGATTCTTCCATTATTGTTTCTATAACTTGTTGGGTATACTAGCACAGAACTTATATTTGCTATACATTAGATGCATCCTCCTATAGTTCATTCTTGATGACTGAAGCAAGACTTTTCTCTTTACTACGGTCCTGTGAATTATGACTCATTCAACCTGACTTATGGGAAGGGACATACTCTTCCTGGCACTTTAATTGTGTCAAATGTAGAGTCTCTCAGCCCCAGGTCATTTCCTGGAATGCCTGTGTTGTTGGGTGCTCTGCAGTATGTCCAAGGTGGCCTCTCTAGATCTCAGAGCATCCATCCCCCCTTTTCAGTTCCTTCCTCTCTTGAGTTCTGTCCTGTGATTTTCATCTGCCTTGTTTCACCAAATAACTTAACACCTCAGCTCCAGGAGTCTGGTAGAGTCTGAACAACTGTATCCTCTTCATATCCTAACAAAGCCTGAGCTATCTCATAGCAGGGTGATAGAAAGTCAGGGTAATATAATGTAACTATTTTTATGCCTAATAGGGACAATTTTCTTCCTTGTCAGAAGTATTTCAGTCTTTAAAACATATTTTTTTTCCTGATTTGAGTTGTGTTACTTCAGGTTGGTGTCAAAACAAGGACCTGTTATTCAATCTTTGTCAGAACTGGAGGGCGGTAGCGCCTGGGCATCTGCTGTAGACTACGTACAATGTGCCTCATCGCACTGGTCACCTAGTTCTTGTTCATGTGTCATGCCTATGCATCTCTTCCACTAGAACATATTCCTTCATGTTTACATGATGTCAAAACTTGATTTCATTTCAGTATCATCTGAATTTGTAATGTTTGTGTTCATGTCTGTCTTTCCCATTAGTTTTTAGGCTAAAGTACAGTAAGTGTTCTCTTATTTTTAACTGCAGATATTACCATAATGTGTCCCACAGTATAGGCCATCAGTATACCTTTATGCAGGGCAACATTAAGTGAAAATCTCGAGCTTTTCATGTATTAAAGATGCTGCTGGACTTCATTTGCGCCTTTTCTCCAATTCAGATTCTAGCAGCCTCATGAGGATCTCGAATGCAGTTCATTCATATGAGAAATTACTGGAGGATAAAACACATGCTTTTGACCAACTTCAAGAAAAATATGAAGATTTAAAAATTAATCACAGTGATACTCAAAAAACGGTGTCAAAAACAGTCAAAGAAAAGTTAAAAGTAGATACAGAAAACACTAAATTGAAAGCAGAAATGCACAATCTGAGGTACGACATCCCAATTTTAAAATCCTTTAATTGTTTTCATTAGATGATAAATAGAATTTTTGTAGCTTGTCATTTACTTTTGAAGTGTTCTTCAGGGAAGGAAACTTTCCAAGTTTGAGTTTTATTATTATTTTTTGATACATATCTTAATGTAGTCCAGGGAAGCACCAAATTTGGGATCTCTTGGCCTTCACTGTTTGATGTTTGGGTTGATAGGTTGGGAGCCTCTATGCCTACCTGAAACAATTCTTAGTCTTGTGGAGTGTGAAATTAATGTAATTAACAATTATATCTAATTGTGACTATTTTCTATAATTACATATGTGTTCTTTCAAATCACAGTTTTAATGTCTAGAGAGAAACTTCACTTATTTGTGAGACAACAATTATAGTTTTAAAAGTTATTTTACAAGTATTCTGCAAGGAATACCATTTGTTAAAAAAATCTTTTCTACATGTTGAATTAATGACCTTGAATAAATTCTTCAGAATAGAATTATTTGACTCAAGGAAATAAATCCTATAAAAGGACTTGATTGGCAGATTTAAATTGTCCCAAACAAAATGTATATTAATTAAAAATTCCACCATTAGAATATGAAATGCTATTTTTCTCAATTCAGAAAAAATATATAAAATCATTTAGTATTTGTGATGCTATGTAATGAACCTAGAGTTTTATATGTGTGTGTGTGTGTGTGCATGTATGTAGTACTTAATGACATGTTTTAGTTAATATCATTACAATTTCACCAGAACTCCCCATGCTTTTTATATGTATTTTCTTTTTCTTTGATTTTTTAAAAAATTTATTTTATTAATTAATTATTAAAATTTCCCCAGTCCAATCACAGTTTCCCCTCCATCCTGCCTCTCTTCCCAGTTCCTACACTCTAGCCTCCCCTCTCCCCACACCATCAGCTCCTCCTCCTTTCTCTTTAGAAAGGGCCGGTCTCCCATGTGTATCAGTCAGTCATGCTATATCAAGATGCAGTAAGACTAGGCACCTCTCCTGCTGAGGTTGGATGAGGCAACCCAGTAGAAGAAAAGGGTCCAAAAAGCAGGTAAGAGAGTCAGCGAGAGGCCCTGCTCCCACTGTTAGGAGACCCAAAAGAAGACCATGCTACACCCTGTAACATATGTGCAGTAGGCCTATTTGAGTCCTATGCAAGCTCTCTGGTTAGTGGTTCAGTCTCTGTGAGCCCCCATGAGCCCAGGTTAGTTGATGCTCTGACTTTCTTGTCATGTTCTTGGTTCCTCTGGCTCTTACAATCCTTCCTCATCCTCTTCAACAGTTCCCTGCTGAATACATACATATAATTAAAAAGAAAAAATCTTTAAAAGACAGTGAGGAAATGATCATTGTTTTATGCAAAAATTAAGAAATAGAAGCAGCACAGTAAAGAACTGAGCAAGGTGAAATCTGTTGTTTGGGTTTGCCTTCTGGTTTGTTTTAAGACAGTAACCATGAGCTCTAGACCTGCTCTGAGCTTTCTCTTTAATGCACTTTGGACTTGAATTTGTAATTCTACTGCCTCAACCTTTCAAGTGTTGTGGTTATAGGTATGTCCCATCACAATAGATGTTTAAGTATTAAGGCATGAGAACTGCCCTTAATTGACTACCGAATGTTGATTTCACAGCATCATATTTTCAGATCAGTATTAGAGATGCCTCCCACAGTCTTGTCCTTTATCTCCTGCTTAAACCAAGAGATCCTCAATGCATTATGTTACATGATCATTGCCAGCTGATCGGTACTAAGACAGTAACCTATAAATTATAACGAATATACAAAATTGCTTGGTTAATGGAGTTAGTGAATATCCTTGAAGTACTGAGGCGTGTTCTGGGCTTCATGTTGTCATGTGTTGCCACTTCCAGTAGTATGATAAATGACTCAGTGCAACTTCCACAAAGACCTCATTCACTGGTACACCAGCTAAAAGATGATCAGACACAATCACACTAACACAAACCACAATTATTATATGAGGTTCACTTTGTGATATATATTTTCTAAGTGTTTTAATGCAGAGTTGCTAATTTAATCTTCTCAATATTCCACTTAGAAGCTTCATGTCCATTTTGCAGATGAAAAAATAAGACCAGAAATATTAACTTGAGTACATAATATATGTTTAAATCATAGTTGGTGAGCTGGTGCTCACCAACAAAGGTCACTGTAGGCAATCTCCCCCTGTCTCATACTTGGCAAATTTTACCAGTTTGAGTGTTTGGTAATTTCTAAAAACAACACCATGTACTACAGACCTTGAAGAGAGGTCCATAAATAAACAATTTTGAAATTGTCCAGATAACGTGACACTAGGCATTGTGGACAATGACATCCCTATTGCTATCAATGATATTCGATGCTATATGGAAAACAATATGTTTATTTACCAGAAGAGAGAGAGAGTCGCACAAACCAGGAGTTAGAAGCATGGCTGGCTTCCAGGAAAAAAGGGGGATTCCTTTTCCTTTCACTTCCTTTTATATCTACCTGTGTCAGTTTACATGTCCCCACCCTCATGGGTGGATAGCTTTGTGGGGTTCACTCCTACAATTCCCCTTTTAGTCTAAATAGAAGATTTAAATTTGATACAAACTCAAACATATACAACATATATACATAGAGGGTGATAATTAAGTTATAATCTACTTATCCTAAGCTAAACATATCCATTCCACCTAAATTCTAAACTTATCTGAAAAGGATGCCTAAGTCTGAACACCTCCTTCCAATCCCAACCCTAAAACAATTGTAAATTAACACTAACAGGTGTAAACTATCCTCTAATATCAATAGTAGGGAGAAGGGACGTGGAATTCTCAAATTTCTTCTTTAGGTATCCATATACCTAGTATTTTTTCACTGTTCAGAACTAATTTTCCTGTAAAGACACAAACAGAATACTTCTCTTTCCTTTGATAAGGTCTCCTTATACATAGCAGACCTTGTAGATGAGCCGTCATCCTTCCTCCTCCTGAGACATTTTCTGTTCTGATCGAATCTTAATTAATTTAGATGGGACCCAAAGATTTTCTTCTCCTGTGGAAACAAAAGCATAACCCCTTCCCCAACGTAACACATATCCTGGTTTCCAGACTGAGGTCATAACATCCTTAAAATACACCAGTTGGTTCAGTTCAGAAGTCTTCTCTGTAGTCCAGTGTCTTTCTGCTGCAGTTTGTCCTTTTTCATCAGCATTAAGAAAATTCAATGTTAGTAAAGCATTGTGTAACCTGTGTTTAGGGGTCTTTGTTCTCCCTGGCTGTTTATGAAGCATCTCTTTTAAGGTTCAGTTAGATCTTTCAATCACTGCTTGTCCTGTGGGATTGTAAGTTATACCAGTTACATGTTTTATATTATAATATTTGAAAAATTGTTCCAATTTATTGGAGACATATGCCGGAGCATTGTCAGTTTTTATTGTTTTAGGTATACCCATAACAGCCATCACTTCTAAGAGGTGTGTAATAACATAGTCAGCTTTTTCAGAGCTGAGGGCCGTAGCCCATTGGAATCCTGAGAATGTGTCTATGGTATGGTGTACATATTTCAAACTGCCAAATTCTGGGAAGTGAAATACATCCATTTGCAAAAGTTCATTTCTGTGAATACCTTTAGGATTACAACCTGCTGGTAATGGAGTTTGATTGCAGCATGAGCAACTGGGGCAATTTCTTACTATTTCTTTGGCTTGTTGCCAGTTGAGAGAAAAATCCTTCTTTAAGCCTTTGCTGTTAACATGGTGTTTCTTATGAAATTCTGAAGCTTCCAACACATTACCTACTAATAAACGATCAATTTCCTCATTAACTTGTGCTAGAGGACCTGGCAGACCTGTATGGGATCTGATGTGTGTTATATATATAAGATGAGTCCTGTTTCTGATGGTTTCCTGTAATTGTAAAAATAATGAGGTTAATTCTGTACTATCAGGAACAAATTCTGCAGTCTCAATGTGCAAGACAACTCTTCCTGCATACTGAGAATCCGTGATTATATTGAGAGGCTCTGTAAAGTCTTTAAGTACCATGAGAATGGCATATAACTCTGCCGTTTGTATGGAATTGTAAGGGCTTTGAACTACTTTACTTATGTTTCCTGATTTATACCCTACCTTACCTGATTTGTTTGCATCCGTGTAGAAGGTAAGAACTCCAGAAATAGGTGTTTGTCTCAGGATACGTGGAAGAATCCAAATTGTTTTCTTTATGAATTTGATTCTCTCTGTTTTGGGACAGTTATTACTAATAGTTCCCAAAAAGTCACTGCAAGCTATTTGCCAATACTCATTATCCTTCCATAAGGAGGAAATTTCATCATTTGTTAAAGGTACAATAATTTCAGCAGGGTCTTTCCCAGTCAGTTGACGAAGCCTTAACTTACCTTTTAATATCAAATCAGAGATCTTTTCCATATACGTTTTCAATTTTTTATTCTGTTTATGTGGCAGAAATACCCATTCTAGTATGATGTCTTCCCTCTGCATTAATATTCCTGAGGGGTATTCTCTAGATGGTAAAATAACCAGAATACAGTCCAGTTTTGGATCCACACGGTCTACATGTGCTTCTAATATTCTCTTTTCTACCCATTCTAATTCTTTTTCAGCCTCAGCTGATAGTACTCTTAAACTGTTTAGGTCTTTATCTCCTTTTAAAGGTATTTTCAGGTGTTTTAAATCATGCCCTTCTACACCGATAATTGTCTGTAATTGAGAGATTTCTCCTAATAGGTTTTGAAGATCATTAAGCGTCCAGTAATGATCTCTTCTAATCTGTACTTTCTGTGGTCTAATTTTCTGAGCATCTATTTTATAACCTAAATAGTTAATAGAATCTCCTCTTTGTATTTTTTCTGGGGCAATTTGTAATCCCCAGCGAGACAAAGTTTCCTTTACTGTTTCAAACATCTTTTCCATAGTATCCTTATTTGAATCAGGCAATAATATGCCATCCATATAATGATATATTAACGAATGTGGAAATTTTTTATGAATTATTTCTAGAGGTTTATTCACAAAATATTGACACAAAGTTGGGCTGTTTAACATACCTTGCGGTAGTACCTTCCACTGGAATCTCTGTACCGAACGGGAATTATTATAGGTAGGTACCGTGAAGGCGAACTTTTCTCTGTCGCTTTCTTGTAATGATATGGTGAAGAAGAAATCTTTTAAGTCTATACTATAATTGGCCAATTCTTAGGAATTAGAGAAGGTAACAGCATCCCAGGTTGTAGAGACCCCATAGGCTGAATTACCTTGTTGATGGCTCTAAGATCAGTAACCATTCTCCACTTACCAGACTTCTTCTTGACAACAAAAACAGGTGAATTCCATGCACTAGTTGATTCCTCAATATGTCCAGCATCTAGCTGTTCCTGAACTAACTTCTCCAAAGCCTCTAACTTCTCAGATGTCATAGGCCATTGACCCACCCAGACAGGTTCATCTGTCAGCCATTTTAAGGGTAGAGCTTTTGGTTGCTCTGTAGGTTTGGCACTAGCATCCTGCTTCTGTACAGCCTGTACACTTCGAATCTGTTTTCTGTACTGCCTTACTATATTCTTTGTACCACTAAGAGCTTGTCTATAATACCTAGCTGATACAGGAGGAATGTTAATCTGCGTATTGCATTGCTGTAATAGATCACGACACCAGAGGTTTATAGCAATATCTGCAACACATGGCTTTAACCTTCCTCTCTGTCCTTCTGGCCCAATAAAGTCAATCCATCTAACACTCTGTTTAACTTCAGATAGGGTTCCAATCCCTAAGAATTGAACGTTAACCTCTTTTAAAGCCCAATTTGGGGGCCAGGACTTCTGATTAATGATGGTGACGTCACTTCCTATGTCTAAAATGCCATTAATCACCATATTATTTACTTTAACTGGTAACTTGGGTCTATGATATTGTATAGATATATGTTTTGTATTTCCTCCTGATATAATTGATTCATCCTCTGGAGCTACTGCATTATCCAGTGCCATATTATTTACAATGGGCAGTGGATCTTCTAATTGTCCTGGGAGAGGCTATCCTCCACTGTCACTGGGAATGACCGGATAATCTTTCTTTCTGGGGCCTGCTTGAGGCCCCAATTCCCGTTTCCCAGCTGTAAAGGTCTACCTTGTTTATCTCTTGTGGACCAGCATTTGTCAGTCCAATGACTGCCCTTTCCACACCTCCTGCAGAGACCAGGAGGCTGAGGCCTTCTGTTTGATGCATTCCTGGTAAAAGCATTATTTCTAGGAATGCGTTGTCTACAGTTCCTACTCAGATATCCTATTTTACCACAATTAAAACATCTAAAGTTTCAATGCCTTTTGAAATTTCTAAAGATTACTTCCCCAACCCAATTTGATATCTCCTCTTGGTTAGGCCATTTTTCATCCTGATTCCTCCTAAATCCTTTAGAAATGGCTTCTCCTATCCAGGTTCCTGCCTCTGTATTGTCATTCTTAACATTAGTTGTATATAAGACCCATTCCTCCAATGGTGCTGATCTTACCTTTAATGGCCACAGTATCTGTGTATAATGTGGGTTTGCATTCTCATAAGCCAAAGGTTCTGTAAGAAGTCGCCTAATATTAGGACCAGTTATTTGTAAATGTACTGCTCTGGATAGTCTTTGTAAGAATTCAGAGAATCTTTCTCTTGGACCCTGTATCACTTTTGAATATGATTCAACCTTTTCCCCGGTTCATGAACCTTATCCAAAGCATTTAGTGCTGCTGTTTTGCATAAATCAAATGTATGCTCATCATAACCAGCTTGGACCTGCGGGTCAGAAAATTGCTTCTCCCCAATAATCTTACTTTCGGAAGCTTCAAAGCCATCCTTCAAACCTTGAAGTTCAAGGGCCTTGGCTTCCTGTCTCCACAAAGCTTTCCACTGTATTTGGGAAGACTGGTCCAGCACTGCAGATATTAAATCATTCCAATCTGAGGGAGTTATCTTATTGGTAGTAGCCCATGTGTTTAGTAACTGTTTTACTTAGGGGCTGTGGACCCCAAAAGACATTATCGCTTGCTTTATATCTTTCATTTCTTTCATGGGAATAGGTTCCCATTTATGTGTAGTGGAACCAGATTGGTTCCTCCGCGATGCTGGCCTTTCTACCATGGTTACTGGAGAGGCTACCTTAGGATGTCTAGTAGCCATATTTTGTTTCTTTCCTGGTAGCCTAGCATCTGTTGACTCAACATCTGATGTTTCAGAGGATGTATCTCCTAGAGATTGAAATTTTGCAACCATGTCATCCTTTAGGTATTGGATTTCCTGCATTAAAAATTGTTCCAAGTCCTTGGATTGTTCATTGAGGTCTTGGTTTTCCTGAGTTAAAGATTGTTTTAAGTCTTTGGACTGTTCAGTTAAAAGTGATTCCAAGCTTTTCATACCATCCTCTCTAAAAACTCCAAAGGCATCTATTTTTCCTTCCAGAAAACACATTCGGTCCGCTAGAGAGTCATTATTGTCAGACATAGATTGAATTGACCCTGCTAATTTTGAAAATTCCTCCTGGCTAGACTCCATCTTAGCCATCAATGTAGTGGACATTGAATTGAATGTGTCTCGAAGGTTGTCCTGATCAAATTAACTAAATCCCCTTGTTCCTGAATTTTTGACTCTAATTTTTGAATTGACTCTGCTAATTTGTAAAGTTCCACCTGGTTAGACTCAGTGTTAGCCATAATGCAATAGACATTGAATTAGCTGTGCCTCGAAGATTGTTCTGATCAAATTCCAAATTATCTGTTTTGGTAACTAAATCACCTTTTTCTTGAACTTTTGACTCTAATTTTCGAATCATATGCACATGTTTCTTCCATGTGATTACATGTATTAATACACTAATCACAAGCATGGCACACATATACATATGAAAAATATCATAATTGTCTTTTACTGCATAATCCATCACATTGGTAATGAAATCTCTAAAATCCTGCAGTGTTAAATTACCTGCCATGTTATAATTAGATGTTCCTACCACCGATTGGTGATTCCTAAATTGGAAAAATCACCTCCTGATTTGTCTCAGATTAAACTACCTGTAGGTACCACACATGGCCAGTAGATGGCACAGGTGTACTGCCAGACACTGCCTCTCCGCAGAAAATTGGATGCTCCCCAAGGAACCTGTGAAAACTTAGCAAACAGATTTGGGAAGATGGATTCGCGCAGCAGAGCTTGCATTGGCTTTGGTAGCTGCTAAGGTGGTGGAAGAGAGACCTGGGCAAGGGAATCGGGCGGGTGGCAGGGGAAATGGGTAGCAGATGGCCGCGGAAGGTAGACGGCCTGGGTGCTGTTCTCGCGCGGCAGTGGCGGAGAGCGCGGTGGAGGCTGCGGTGGTGGCGGCGTCCACCCCAGGAGGACGGTACTCGCGGCAGGTGGTGGCGGGGAGTCTTTGCAGCGTCCCACCCCGGGGTTCCAGAGCAGGCAGCAGAAGATGTGAGGAATGGAATTCGGGAGAAACGGGAGGGTGCTGGGAGAAACAGGAGCAAGAGCGTGCAGTGCAGCTGCAGCCACAGCAAGAGACTGGGCAGCTGGAATGCCAATTAGCATTCACCTCGGAATGCTGGAGTCAGGCGGCCACTGGCCACAGAGGCGTGGGCTTCCAATCCCCTCAGCTGCCACCAGATACAATGATATTCGATGCTATATGGAAAACAATATATTTGTTTACCAGAAAGAGAGAGAGAGTCGCACAAACCAGGAGTTAGAAGCGTGGCTGGCTTCCAGGAAAAAAAGGGGGGTTCCTTTTCCTTTCACTTCCTTTTATATCTACCTGTGTCAGTTTACATGTCCCCACCCTCATGGGTGGATAGCTTTGGGGTTCATTCCTACATATTGCAGTTGCTGAGATGACTTTGTAGATGTAGCTTAACATAGTCATAGCAACATGCAAAAGAAGAAGGGCTAGATGTGTTCTAATTAAACATCAGCATGATGTGTAGGTGGACATTGTGATGCAGAATATTGTTGGGAGGCCCTGCTGGTCAGAGGTTGCAGTCTACCATGGCTTAGCAGTCTTTCTCAGAGCTTGGCAACATGAAGGAACTCCCCCCACCCCAGTGAGGCTTCCTGCTCTCTACCTGCCCTTATTTGGAGAAGATCTCTAGGCCTGGAGGAGGCCTGGCCTTACCTGAAAACTGTTCCTAAGCCTGGGTGCCTGATTTATCTCTAGTGTGATCCTTGGCATAGTTCCCTGCTGGAGCTCCCCACTGCTGCCCATATAGTAATTAGACATTGTGCTTTTTGACAGGACCACTCTTCCACAGAAGATAATTAAGACTTGTACTAAGAGCTTTACTATAGGAGCCTGCTGTTTAATGCAAATTAGATGATTCCCCAGCTGCCAAAGCTGAGCTGACTCACTGAAGCTGTCTCATGGAGAGCTATCTCTGCAGACCCTCAGGCAGTCTGACCCTGCTCACTTTCTGTAGTTGGGGTTTCTGGTTCTGCTTGGTCCCACAGTGGTTTAGCCCTAAATAAACACACAGAGGCTTCTATTAATTATAAACTCTTTGGCCGATGGCTCAACCTTCTTACTGGCTAGCTCTCTCTTAATTATTAACCCATTAACTATTAATGTATGTATTTCTACATGGCCTTATCTTACCAGAGAACTCCTGGCATGTTCTATCTTTCCAGTGGCTACACAGTGTCTCCGTGTGGCTACTCTCTCTGCCTTCTCCCCAGAATTCTTCTCATCTGGTAGCCCCACCCATGCTACCTGCTTGGCTACTGGCCAATCCATGATTTATTCACCAACTAATAAGAGAAACATTTATATAGAGGGTCATCCCCCATCAACTTTTTTCTGCCCCCACCTCATGGACGGGTGGCTGATGATCACCAAAGAGACTCACAGAATATAATGTTATTTTTCCTAGTTCTTAGGTGGATCTCTTGTGAGTTCGAGGCTGGGCTGGACCGACAGCCTCGAAAACAATACAAAGAAACCCTGTCTCGTAAAAACCAAAAAAAAAAAAAAAGACTATTGGTTGTTCATAGGTTACAAGAGATTTCAGTCCATCATGTAGCCCAAGGCAGTGGAGTAGCTCTGTCTGTGGCTTTCTCATACAACAATAGACAGGAAGCAGGAAGAAGAAATTGGATCCAGGGGCAGTGAAAACCTTAAAGGCCTGCCATTTTGATTGAGTCACCAGGCCCACCATCGAAATGCTGCATAGCATTCAAAACAGTGTTAAAATCTATGGAGCAAAGCTTCAAAACATAAGAATGTGCTGGACACTTCAGATTCAAACCATAGCATTCTACCACTGACCTCCACAGGCTCATGATCATCTCATAATACAGACTTTACTTAGTCCAACTTCAAAGGTCAGTTAATCTGAACAGTGTTCACATTATTTAAAAAACTTGAGTCAAATTTTTAACTGTAAGTCTTTGTAAACAGGAAAGGTTACACAGGTTTTATGGCTATTACATAATGCTCACCAAAAGACAAAGACAGGAAAATATTACTGAAGATTGTCCCCAGAGAAGACAGAAACCCCATAGGACAAATACTAAAACCTAAAGCTCCATATGCAGCATTTGGGGTACATGGTGATCTCATCTGAACATTGACAGATTTGGGCAGCACTGGCTCTTGTCATGCTGTTGGTAGCATGAAGGGTCTGTTTTGTGTTATAGTTCTCTTAACTTCCTGGTACTTCTTTCACTAAATACGTCCTATTTCTGATTTCTGCAGTATTGTATCATTACACCTATTCCAACATAATGCTCCTCTTCATTGCTTTATACATATCCTCAGAGGCTAGATGAGGGATGGTTCCATTCAATTGTCCCAGTAGATCACAGATGGGGTGGATGCTGGGGTGGGCCAACTCATATTCCTGGTTCTGGGCCTGGGTGGTTGCAGGGTTGTTCATCTTGCCAGCTCTCCCTTGTCCTCACCACCATGGTGAGCTCTCCTGTGTTGTCCTGGCAAGTTCACCCCTTGCAGTGATGAGCTTTCAAGTCCACAGTGTCAGATCCACCACACCCACACCTGCAGTGGCAGCTCTGCCGTGTTGTCCAGGTATGGTATAGGGGCCTGTCCCTGGAGTGCTGCAGATCATGAGGGGCAGGACCAGCTGGGGAATTAATGGGCTCAGGATTGGGGGTTTGAGACAGAAGTAAAGGGTATTTCTCCTTTGCCCAAGCCATGGTGTTACAGTTGAGTTACAGGAACAGTTCTCCCATGCTCACAGATACAGAGATGGCTCTGCCAAGAATTGGCTTTATTGTACTGTCCAGTGGAGGTACAGTATGTCCCCTGCATAGTGTTTCATCTGCGGGGGGGAGGGGACAGGGACAGATCGCTCACCCTTATGACTTCAGGGCTAGCTGTCTTCCATTCTTGCTGTTAGATACCTGATACCTAATGGGGGCAGTTGTCACCCACACCTCTGCCAGCAGAATCAGCTCTGTTTTGCTGACTAGGTGAGAGGTGAGGTCTTCTTTCCTGAGCGTTGCAGATGGCTAGAGACAGGAAGACAGGGACTACTGCTCTCCTGTCCTTATGCCCTTATGGCCTCAGGGACAGTTCTCCCACTGTCCTCAAGCATTGATGGGTGGGGGGCAAGGCATGGGATCTCTCATGCCCAACATTTTTACACTTCAATATCACTGTAAACTCTGCTAAAAACAAGAAGAATAACAATGTCACAGCCTTAAGGGTAATGATTTGTAAAATATTTCCACCACTCAATAAACTATCCCGCTATTTTTAATTCCACATCAGTGAACATTTCAGAGAATGGATCCACATTCCTTGACAGAATGTAATGTGGATGGTTCCGACTGACTCTCAGTAAGAATATTTAAATGCACAAGAAACCTCATGATCAGAGCTTTTGATGTCTACATTTTTATGGACATTCTGGTATCATGAATCACATCAGAATGTCTCATTAGGATGATCTTATTCTGGGCCTTCTGTAAACCATAGCTCCAGATTCTTTCATAGGCTCTTGAATAAGTTCCCGAAGTCTAAGGATGACATGGCCACTTTTATTATAGCAGTGATTATGTTGTACCCTCTTCCCATGTCAATCATGCTTCCTCACTGCAGAGAAGCCATCTGACAAGTCAAGTTGATAGAGCAAATGTGATTTTGGCTAAATTTTCCAGAGGATTTCTAGTCTACCGTGACAGAAAATGCTGGATGACAGAGTTCTGTCTGTGGGAGCAGGACCATGGACAGCACCTAGCCATTGCTTCTTCTAGCTGCATGAGGCATGGGGCACTGTATGAACACTGAGAATTGCAACATGAATTTGGGAGGTGATCATCTAGAGAGTTCTATGATGAAAGCACTGTGCTAAATAGAATGATTGTATTCCACATAACAGGAGGATTAGTATGATTCATATCCCGCTGTATTTTACTTCATATGAGTGAACTTTTCAGAGTCTGGATCCGAATTCCTTGAAAGAATGTAATGCGGAGGATTCTGGCCAACTAGCAGGAAGAGTATTTAATAGCACCAGAAACCTCATGATCACAGCCCTTGATGTCTTCATTTTTATGGACATTCTGGTATCATGAGCTCACATCAGAATGTCTCATTAGGCTGAGCTTCTTCTGTGCCTTCTGTAAACCATAGCTCCAGATTCTATCCTATGCCCATGAATAAGTTCCATAGTCTAATGAGCCCATGGCCACTGTTATTAGAGCAGTGATGATGTGGTACCCACTTCCCATGTCAATCACGTTTCCCCACAGCTTGATAGAAAGGTGGTTGTGGCGAAACATCTCAGAGCATTTCTAGTCTATCATGACAGGATAGGCCAGATGACAGTGTTCTGTGTGTGGCAGCAGGACAATGGGGCCTCCCCTAGTTAAGGCTTCTTCTAGCTACATGAGGCATGAGGCACTGTGTGAACACTGAGAATTTACTATGAGATTGAGAGATGGAGATCATCTGCAGAGTTCTATGATGAAAGCACTGTACTGAATAGATTGAGTGCATACCAGCAAGCAAGCTGTGACAAGATAGAATTTGTATAATCCATACTAATTGCACACTTTTGAAACCAGAGGGAAAATCTGTACTTAGTTTACCTGAAATGCAGAGTTTACTTTGGTTGTTGAAGCTCAGTGGAGGTGTGTATGTGTTGTGTGTTTGAATCTGTAAGTTTGATACACAGTAACACTAAGACAAATAAGAAAACTCACATTTGTTCATATTACCTCTAAAGTGTGTACAGACAAAGGGCCACCCAAAGACTGGTACAGTTTCAAAATCACTGTATGTCGAAATGTTCAGAATTCCTATGATCATTCACAGTTTTGTTCAGAATCTGGTTGGGTATTTTTAAATGTTTGCAGTAAACACAACTCATTCTTAAACTTGTATTTTAATCTAATTGGATATTATCAAATGTGTGCAGTAAACATCTGAAACATGTATTTTAGGCTTAACCTTGAAATTTCTGACTTACAAGCAACAACAAAACATCAAGAAGAGGAAATAGAAGCATTGAAGACAAATCAAGTAAGTCCATATTTAGAAAGCCTATTTTGTATTAATTTCTGAAAGAGTGAGAAGAAAATTTCCTGATTCTAGCAGTAGTATACAATCACATTTTAGGAGATATGAATATTCTCCCTAGTCATATATTTGATATATCCATATGTAACTGTTTTTAAATACTAGTTTAAATTGTCTTAGCTTGCAGAAGTTCTTTGAATTTGTAAAATTCATTACTCTGAGAATGATTTCTTTTTTGAGACAGGGACTGTGTAGCCCACGCTCATTCCAAATTCATGCTGTGGTTTACTTTAATTCCAGACTCTGGGATGAAAACAAATACAGTAGCTACCATGTCCTATCAGTGTTATGTGATTAATTATAAATACTGTGATTATCTACACTCAATAGTTTGTATTTACCATAGTTGGCAGACCCAATTACCCATTGATGGACTCTTAATTTTCATGTGTTTGGCTACTGTTAACAACGCTGTGTGGAAAACTAATCTCAAATTGAATTTTTGATCCCTGCCAATACATCATCATAATGTATATCTAGAAGATATAAATAACTAATGAAATTTTGGATTTCAATTTAACGTTAGACTTTCTGTGATATCTTGAGTATTAGTTATCTGAAATATTCAGTTTTCTTAAAGAATAAGTACTAGATCTTTAGACAAGGATATTTCCCAGAATAAAGTCTTTTCTTCTTATTGTAAATAGTTCATTGAGTATTTTCCACAATATATTTTGATGATATATGACCCTTCCCCAAGTCATCTCATACCTGCCTTCAATTCACCAAACATACTGCTGTATGTTTTATTCCTTCATTATACTCATGATGTAAAATTTGTGATACACATACATGTTTGGAAGGTGACAACCCCGCAAAGATTCTACCCTTAAAAATAGTCATTCATCCTTCTAATATGGATCACTGCCAACCTCTCCAGGCTGTGTGTAGGTATTTATAGCCCCTCGCTCTTCTTGGTGCAACTCTGTTGGTCATGAGCCTGCACAAGTCTTCTGCATGCTATCTTGCCTGCTGTGAATTCATATAAGCTACTTTACTGTTGTGTCCAAGAAACACGCTTGCATAATCCACTGCCTTGCACTCTTAACAATCTTTACATCTCCTCTTCCATAATGATCACTGAGTTTTGGGATTAAGAGATTTTGCCAAAGATATATTTAATATCATACATATAGTTTTAAAATGTACTTTATGTACTTTTTTCAGAAACAGTCAATTCAAGCATTGACAATGCGTTTGAACAATGGGAAAGAAGAAAAGAGTAAACTACTAAAAGAAATAGATAGGTAACGAATTAATTTTCGAATCTTTCATCCATGACCTAGAACTATTATCCATATATCTTTAATTGCAAGTAAGTGTTCATCGCAGAGTCATTGGTTTGATTTGAGGACTCTGGTTTCTGCTACACTATCGATGCTAGGCTGTCAGTGGAATCAATCTTTATTGTCCTGCTGATTGTCTGGGTTGTGGAGATCCTGCAGATTGGGGTCTGCAGGACCGGTCCATTCAGTCTTCCCAGATCACAGACAGGGTGGATGCAGGGGACGACCAACTCACATGCCTGGTTCTGGCCTGGGCAACTTCAGGGTTGTTCAGCCTGCCAGCTCTCCCTTGTCCTCACCACCATGGTGAGCTCTCCTGTGTTGTCCTGGCAAGTTCACCCCTAGCAGTGACAAGCAAGGGGCAGGACTAGTTCTCCTGCTATCAAGTCCTCAGTGTCAGATCTCCAAAACCCACACATCAGCAGCAACTCTACTGTTTTTTCCAGGTGTGGTATAGGGGCCTCTCTCTGGAGTGCTGTGGCTGATGAGAGACAGGACCATCTCTACTGAAGCTGGGGGAATTTATGGGCTCTGGAATGGTTGTTTGAGGCAGAAGTAAAGGGCATCTCTCATTTTCCTAAGCTGCCATGTTACAGATGAGTAACACAGACAGTTCTCCCATGCTCACAGATGGCTGGCTCTGCCAAAAGAATTGGCTTTATTGTACTGCCCAGTGGAGGGACAGTACATCCACTGCATAGTGTTTCAGCTGGTGGGGGACAGGGGCAGCTCTCTCACCCTTATGACCTCAGGGCTACCTGTCTTCCATTCTTGCTGTTAGATAACTAATGGGGGCAGTTCTCACCCACACCTCTGCCAGCAGGATCAGCTCTATTTTGTTGCCCAGGTGAGGGGCAAGGTCTTCCCTCCTGAGTGTTGCAGATGATAGGAGATAGGGAGATAGGGGCTGCTGACTTCAGGGCCATTAACCCAGTCTCCTCAAACGATGATCGGTGGGGCAAAGCATGGGATCTCTCTCATGCCCAACATTTTTACACTTGAATATCATTGTAAACTCTGGTAAAATAGAACAATAACAAGGTCACAGCCTTAAGGGTAATGATTTGTAAAGATTTCCACCACTAAATAAACTATCCTGCTGTATTTACCTTCATATAAATGAACATTTCAGAGACTGGATCCAAATTCCTTGAAAGAATGTAATGCGGAGGATTCTGGCCAACTAGCAGGAAGAGTATTTAATAGCACCAGAAACCTCATGATCAGAGCCCTTGATGTCTTCATTTTTATGGACATTCTGGTATCATGAGCTCACATCAGAATGTCTCATTAGGCTGAGCTTCTGTGCCTTATGTAAACCATAGCTCCAGATTCTATCCTATGCCCATGAATAAGTTCCATAGTCTAATGAGCCCATGGCCACTGTTATTAGAGCAGTGATGATGTGGTACCCACTTCCCATGTCAATCACGTTTCCCCACAGCTTGATAGAAAGGTGGTTGTGGCGAAACATCTCAGAGCATTTCTAGTCTATCATGACAGGATAGGCCAGATGACTGTGTTGTGTGTGTGTCAGCAGGACAATGGGGCCGCCCCTAGTTAAGGATTCTTCTAGCTACATGAGGCATGAGGCACTGTGTGAACACTGAGAATTGTACTATGAGTTTGAGAGATGGAGACCATCTGCAGAGTTCTATGATGAAAGCACTGTACTGAATAGATTGAGTGCATACCAGCAAGCCATGCTGTGACAAGATAGAATTTGTATAATACATACTAATTGCACACTTTTTGAAACCAGAGGGAAAATCTGTACTTAGTTTACCTGAAATACAGAGTTTACTTTGGTTGTTGAAGCTCAGTGGAGGTGTGTATGTGTTGTGTGTTTGAATCTGTAATTTTGATACACAGTAACACTAAGACAAATAAGAAAACTCACATTTGTTCATATTACCTCTAAAGTGTGTACAGACAAAGGGCCACCCAAAAACTGGTACAGTTTCAAAATCACTGTAAGTTGAACTGTTCAGAATTCCTATGATCATTGACAGTTTTGTTCAGAATCTGGTTGGGTATTTATAATGTTTGTAGTAAACACAACTCAGTCTTAAACTTGTATTTTAATCTAATTGTAGTATTATCAAATGTGTGCAGTAAACATCTGAAACATGTATTTTAGGCTTAACCTATGAAGTTTCTAGACTTACAAGCAACAACAAAACATCAAGAAGAGGAAATTCAAGCATTGCCACACAAATCAAGTAAGTCCATATTTACAAAGCCTATTTTGTATTAATTTCTGAAAGAGTGAGATAAGATATTTCCTGATTCTAGCAGTAGTATACAATCACATTTTAGGAGATATTAATATTTTCCCTAGTCATATATTTGGTATATTCATATGTAACTCTTTTTAAATACTAGTTTAAATTTTCTGAGCTTGCAGAAGTTCTTTGAATTTGTAAAATTCATTAGTCTTGGAATATGATTTGTTTTTTGAGACAGGGACTATGTAGCCCTAGGCTCATACCAAATTCATGCTGTGATTTACTTTACTTCCAGACTTCTGGGATGAAAACAAAAACAGTAGCTACCATGTCCTATCAGTGTTAAGCGATTAATGATAAATACTGTGATTATCTACACTCAATAGTTCATATTTACCATAGTTGGCTTACCCAATTACCCATTTGATGGACTCTTAATTTTCATGTGTTTGGCTACTGTTAACAATGCTGTGTGGAAAACTAATCTCAAATTGAATTTTTGATCCCTGCCAATACATCATCATAATGTATATCTATAAGATATACATAAACATTTGATGAAATTTTGGATTTCAATTTAACGTTAGACTTTCTGTGATATCTTGAGTATTAGTTATCTGATAATATTCAGTTTTCTTAAAGAATAAGTACTAGATCATTAGACAAGCACATTTACCTGAGTACAGTCTATTTTTCTTATTTTAAATAGTTCATTGAGAATATTCGACAATATATTTTGATGATATATGACCCTTCCCCAACTCATCTCATACCTGCCTTCAATTCACCAAACACTGAGCTTCATGTTTTATTCCTTATTTAAATGAATTGATGTCAATTTGGTTACACATACATGTCTGGATGTGTAGCATCCTCTGGAGGGTGACAACCCAGCAAAGATTCTACCCATAAAGAAATTCATTCATCCTTTTCCCATGGATCACTGCCAACCTCTCCGGGCTAGGGTTGGGTATATGTAGCCACCTCAGCTCTCCTTGCTGGAATTCTCTTGGCCATGAGCCTGCACAAGTCTTCTGCATGCTATCTTGCCTGCTGTGAATTCATATAAGCTACTTCCCTGTTGTATCCAGGAAACACTCTTGCATAATCCACTGCCTTGCACTCTTAACAATCTTTACATCTCCTCTTCCATAATGATCACTGAATTTTAGGATTAAGAGATTTTGGCAAAGATATATTTAATATCATACATATAATTTTAAAATGAACTTTATGTACTTTTTTCAGAACCAATCAATTCAAGCATTGACAATGCATTTGGAGAATGGGAAAGAAGAGAAGAGTAAACTATTAAAAGAAATAGATAGGTAACGAATTAAATTTTTAAATCTTTCATCCATGACCTAACACTATTATCCATATATCTTTACTTGCAAGTAAGTGTTCATCGCACAGAGTCATTGGTTTGGTTTGAGGCTTCTGGTTTCTGCTACACTATCGATGCTAGGCTGTCAGTGGAATCAATCTTTATTATCCTGGTGATCGTCTGGGTTGTGGAGAGCCTGCAGATTGGGGTCTACAGGATCGGTCCATTCAGTTTTCCCAGGAGATCACAGACAGGGTGGATGCTGGGGCAGGCTAACTCATATGCCTGCTTCTGGCTTGGGCAACTTCAGGGTTTTTGAGCCTGCCAGCTCTCTCTTGTCCTCACCAACATGGTGAGCTCTCCTGTGTTGTCCTGGCAAGTTCACCCCTAGCAGTGACAAGCAAGGGGCAGGACTAGTTCTCCTGCTATCAAGTCCTCAGTGTCAGATCTCCCAAAACCACACAGCAGCAGCAACTGTTCTGTTTTTTCCAGGTGTGGTATAGGGGCCTCTCTGTGGAGTGCTGCAGCTGATGAGAGACAGGACCATCTCTGCTGAAGCTGGGGGAATTTATGGGCTCTGGAATGGTTGTTTGAGGCAGAAGTAAAGGGCAACTCTCATTTTTCTAAGCTGCCATGTTACAGATGAGTAACTCAGACAGTTCTCCCATGCTCACAGATGGCTGGCTCTGCCAAAAGAATTGGCTTTATTGTACTGCCCAGTGGAGGGACAGTACATCCACTGCATTTGGTTTCATCTGGTGGGGGATAGGGGCAGCTCTCTCACCCTTAGGACCTCAGGGCTAGCTGTCTTCCATTCTTGCTGTTAGATAAATATGGGGGCAGTTCTCACTCACACCTCTGCCAGCAGGATCAGCTGTATTTTGTTGCCCAGGTGAGGGGCAAGGTCTTCCCTCCTGAGAGTTGCAGATGATCGGAGATAGGGGCTGCTGACCTCAGGGCCATTCTCCCAATCTCCTCAAACATGATGGGTGGTGCAAAGCGTGGGATCTCTCTGATGCCCAACATTTTTACACTGGGATATCATTGTAAACTCTGGTAAAAATATGAGCAGTAACAATTTTACAGCCTTAAGAGTAATGGTTTGTAAAGATTTCCAACACTAAGTAAAATATCCCGCTGTATTTTACTTCATATAAGTGAACTTTTCAGAGACTGGATCCGAATTCCTTGAAAGAATGCAATGCAGACACTTGTGCCCAAACCTCTGGAACAGTACTTAATAGCACCAGAAACCTCATGACCACAGCCCTCGGTGTCTTCATTTTTATGGACATTCTATGAGCTCACATAAGAATGTCTCATTAGGCTCATCTTCTTCAGCGCCTTCTGTAAACCATAGCTCCTGATTTTCTCCTATGCCCGTGACGTGGTTCCAGAAATCTATTGAGCCCATGGCCCTGTTATTAGAGCAGTGATGATGTGGTACCCACTTCCCATGTCAATCATGTTTCCCCACCGCAGAGATGATATCTGAGAAGCCAACTTGATAGAGCAAAGGTTGTTGTGGGGAAACATTTGAGAGCATTTCTAGTCTATCTTGACAGGAAAGGCCAGATGACAGTGTTGTGTGTGTGGCAGCAGGACCATTGGTGCCTCAGCTTATTATGCCTTCTTCTAGTTACATGAGGCATGAGGTACTGTGTGAACACTGAGAATTGTACTATGAGTTTGAGAGATGGAGATCATCTGCAGAGTTCTGTGATGAAAGCACTGTACTGAATCGATTGAGTGCATACCAACAAGCAATCCGTGACAAGAGAGAGTTTGTATAGTCCATACTAATTGCACACTTTTGAAACCAGAGGGAAAAATCTGTACTTGGTTTACCTGAAATGCAGAGTTTACTTTGGTTGTTGAAGCTCAGTGGAGGTGTGTATGTGTTGTGTGTCTGAATCTGTAAGTTTGATACACAGTAACACTAGGACAAATAAGAAAACTCACATTTGTTCATATTACCTCTAAAGTGTGTACAGACAAAGGGCCACCCAAAGACTGGTACAGTTTCAAAATCACTGTATGTCAAAATGTTCAGAATTCCTATGATCATTCACAGGTTTGTTCAGAATCTGGTTGTGTATTTTTAAATGTTTGCAGTAAACACAACTCATTCTTAAATATGTATTTTAATCTAATTGAGTATTATGAAATGTGTGCAGTAAACATCTGAAACATGTATTTTAGGCTTAACCATGAAAATTCTATCTTGCAATCAATAAGAAAACATCAGGAAGAGGAAATTCTAGCATTGAAGACAAATCAAGTAAGTCCATATTTAGAAAGCCTATTTTGTATTGATTTCTGAAAGAGTGAGAAGAAATTTTCCTGGTTCTAGGCGTAATATACAATCACATTTCAGGTGATAAGAATGTTTTCCCTAGTCATATATTTGATGTATCCATACGTAACTCTTTTTAAATACTAGTTTAAATTTTCTGATCTTGCAGAAGTTCTTTGAATTTGTAAAATTCATTAGTCAGGGAATATGATTTGCTTTTTGAGACAGGGACTATGTAGCCCTGCTCACACCAAATTCATTCTGTGGTTTCCTTTACTTCCAGACTTCTGGGATGAAAACAAAAAGAGTAGCTACCATGTCCTATCAGTGTTATGCGATTAATGATAAATACTGTGATTACTACACTCATTAGATCATATTTACCATAGTTGGCTTACCCAATTACCATTTGATGGACTCTTAATTTTCATGTGTTTGGCTACTGTTAACAAGGCTGTGTGGAAAACTAATCTCAAATTGAGTTTTTCATGCCTGCCAATACGTCATCATAATGTATATCTATAAGATATACATAAACATTTGATGAAAGTTTGGATTTCATTTTACACTTAGCCTTTCTGTGATGTCTTGAGTATTAGGTATCTGTAATATTTAGCTTTTTTAACAATAATTGCTGGATCATTAGATAAGCACATCTACTTGAGGACAGTGTTTTTTCTTATTTTAAATAGTTCATTGAGAATATTCGACAATATATTTTGATGATATATGACCCTGCCCCAACTCATCTCATACCTGCCTTCAATTCACCAAACACTGAGCTTCATGTTTTATTCCTTATTGAAATGAATTGTGTCAATTTGGTTACACATACATGTCTGGATGTGTAGCATCCTCTGGATGGTGACAACCCAGCAAAGATTCTACCCATAAAGAAAGTCATTCATCCTTTCCCCATGGATCACTGCCAACCTCTCTGGGCTAGGGTTGGGTATATGTAGCTTTATTAAAGAATAAAAACTAGATCATGAGACAAGCACATTATCCATAGTAAAGTTTTTCTTCTTATTTTAAATAGTTCATTGAGTATTTTCCACATTATATTTTGATGATATATGACCCTGCCCCAACTCATCTCATTCCTGCCTTCAATGCACCAAACATTCTGCTGCATGTTTTCTTCCTTCATTATACTGATGATGTAAAATTTCGGCTACACAAACAAGTTTGGAAGGTGACAACCCAGCAAAGTTTCTACACTTAAACAACATCGTTCATCCTTCTCCCATGGATCACTGCCAACCTCTCCTGGCTGTGTGTAGGTATTTATAGTCATGTCCCTCTTCTTGATGGAACTCTGTTGGCCATGAGTCTGCACAGGTCTTCTGCATGCTATCTCACCTGCTGTGAATTCATGTAAGCTACTGCACTGCTGTGTCTAGGAAACACTCTTGCATAATCCACCGCCTTGCATACTTAACAATCTTTATCCCTTCTCTTCCATAATGATCACTAAGTTTAGGGACTAGGATGTTTTTACCAAGATATATTTAATAATCATGCATGTAATTTTAAAATGTACATATATGTACTGTTTTCAGAGTGAGTCATTTCAATCATTCATATGGGATTTGGAGAATCATAAAGAAAAAATATGTAAACTACGAAAAGAAAGAGCTAGGTAAGAAATTCATTTTCAAATCACTCATCCATGAACAAATGCCTTTGTCCATATATGTTTACTTGCAAGTGTTCATTGCAGAGTCATAGGGCTGGTTTGAGGCCTCTGGTTTCTGCTACATACACTATCAATGCTGGGCTGTCAGTAGATACAATCTTTCTTGTCCTGCTGATTTTCTGTGTTGTGGAGATTCTGCAGATTGGGGTCTGCAGGACTGGTCCCTTTAGTTGTCCCAGTAGGTCACACATGGTTTCGATGATGGGGTGAGCCATTCATAGATATGCCTGGTACTGGGCCTGTATATTTGCAGGGTTGGTCAGGTTGCCAGCTCTCACTTGTGCTCACCACCAGGGTGAGCTCTCATGTGTAGTCCTGGCAATTTGACCCCTTGTAGTGATGAACACAGGGCAGGACCAGTTGTCTTGCTTCCATGTCCCCAGTGTCAGATCTCCCACACACAAATTTTCAAGGGCAGCTCTACCGTGTTGTCTAGGTGTAGTATACGGGCCTCTCTTTAGGGTCCTGCAGCTGATGAGGGGCAGGACCAGCTCTACTGAAGGCTGGTACATTTATGGGCTGGGATTAGGGGTTGGGCAGAAGAAAAGGACACCTCTCCTTTGCCAAAGCTGCCATGTTACAGATGAGTAATGGGGTCAGTCCTCCCATGCCCTCAGATACAGGGCTGGCTCTACCCCAAGAATTGGCTTTATTGTACTGCCCAATGGAGGTGGGGGACAGGGCCTGCTCTCCTTCCCTTATTACCTTAGGGCTAGCTCTGTTGGATTCATGCTGTTAGAAACAAATGGGGACAGTTCTCCCCCACACCTCTGCCAGCAGGATCAGCTCTATTTTTCTGCCCAGGTGAGGGGCGATGTCTTCTCTCCCGATTCTTGGAGATGGTGGCAGACAGGGAACGAGGGACCACAGCTCTTAGGTCCTTATGCTGTCATGACTTCATGGCCAGTTCTCCCACTCTCCTCAAGCATTGATGGATTGGCAAGGCATTGGATCTCTTGTCCCCAACTTTTATAACTTGAATTACACTGTAAACTCTGCTAAAACCAAGAAGAACAGCAAAGTCACAGCTTTAAGGGTAATGATTTGCAAAATATTTCATCCACTAAATCCCAGCATTTTTAATTCCACGTCAATGACCATTTCAGAGAATGGATCCAAATTCCTCGAAAGAATGTAATGTGGATGCTACTGGTCAACTCTCTGGATGAGTATTTAATAGCACCAGAAACCTCACGATCACAGCTCTTGATGTCTGCATTTTTATGGACATTCTAGTATCATGAGCTCATATCAGAATGTCTCATTAGGATGATCTTCTTCTGGGCCTTCTGTAAACTCTAGGTCCAGATTCTTTCCTATGCCCATGAATAAGTTCCTGAAGTCTAATGAGCCCTTGGTCGCTTTTATTACAGCATTGCTGGTACGGTACCAACATCCCATGTCAATCATGTTTCCTCACTGCAGAGATGATATCTGAGAAGTCAACTTGATAGAGGAAAGTTGATTTTGGCTAAACATTTCAGAGCATTTCTAGTATACAATGACAGGAAAGGCCAGATGACAGTGTTCTGTGTGTGGCAACAGCGCCATGGGCAGTGCCTAGTTATTGCTTCTTGTAGCTGCATGAGGCATGAGGCACTGTATGAACACTGAGAATTTTACTATGAGTTTGGGAGATTGAGATCATCTGCAGAGTACTATGATGACAGCACTGTACTGAATATATTCAGTGCATACCAGCAGCACACTGTGACAAGCGAGAACTTGGATAATTCATAGTAATTGCACACTTTTGAAATCAGCGGGAAAATTCACACTTAGTTTACTTGAAATGCTGTGTTTACTTTGGTTGTTGAAGCTCAGTGGAGGTGTGTATGTGTTGTGTCTTTGAATCTGTAAGTTTGATACCCAGTAACACTAAGACAAATAAGAAATCTCACATTTGTTCATATCACCTCTAAAGTGTGTACAGACAAAGGGCCACCCAAAGACTGGTACAGTTTCAAAATCACTGTATGTCAAAATGTTCAGCATTCCTATGATCATTCACAGTTTTGTTCAGAATCTAATTGGGTATTTTTAAATGTTTGCAGTAAATACAACTCATTGTGAAACATGTATTTTAATCTAACTGGATATTTCCAAATGTGTGCAGTTACACAACTCATTCTGAAACATGTATTTTAGGCTTACACATGAAATTTCTGCCTTAGAGGCAACAACAAAGCGTCAGGCAGAGGAATGTAAGAACAGTCTGGCAACAAAAGTAAGTCCATATATGAAGGCCATTTTTGTATTCATTTCTGAAATACTTAGACGAAAATTTCCCGTGTCTTGCAGTAATATCCAACCACCTTTTGGGAGTTATGCATATTCTCCCTGGTCATATATTTGACATAATCATCTTATAACTGTTTGTGAATAGTAGTTTAAATACTCTGAGCCTACAGAAGTTCTCTGAATTTGTAAGATTTATGACTCTGACAATAAGATTTGTGTTTTTTTTTTTGAGACAGGGACTATGTAGCCCAGGCTAGCCTCTGAGAAAGTGACTATGTATCCCAGGCTAATACCAAATTCATGTGGTGATTTACTTTACCTCCAGACTTCTGGGATGAAAATAAAACAGAAGCTACCATGTCCTACAGGTGTTAAGTGATTAATGATAAACACTCGGATTGTCTACACTCAATAGTTCATATTTACCATAGTTGGCTTACCCTTTTAACCTTTGGTGAACTCTTCATGTTCATGTGCTTGGCTACTGATAACTATGCTGTGTGGAAAACTAAATGTCAAATTGAAGTTTTCATCCCTGCCAATACATCATCATAATTTATAACTAACAGATATAAATATTTGTTGAAAAATTGGATTTCATTGTAACCTAAGCCTTTCTTTGATATGTTGAGAATTAGTTATCTGTAATATTTAGTTGTCTTAAAGAATATGGACTAGGTCATTAGACAAGAACATTTCCCGGAATACAGTCTCTTTTTTCTCATTTTAAACATTTCATTGAGAATTTTTGACAATATATTTTGATGATAATATGATCCTTCCCCAACTCATTTCATACCTGCCTTCAATTCACCAAACACCCAGCTGCATGTTTTATTCCTTCATTGTACTCATTATGTGCAATTTGTGCTACACATACATATTTGGATGTGTAGCATCCCCTGGAGGGTGACAACCCAGCAAAGATTCTACCCTTAGAGAACATCATTCATCCTTGTCACATAGATTAATGCCAACCTTTCCAGGCCAGGGGCAGCGATTTATATCCACCTCCCACTCTTTGCTGATATTCTGTTGGCCATGAGGCTGCACAGGTCTTCTGCATGCTGTCTGGACTACTGTGAATTTATAGAAGCTCCTGCCCTGGTGTGTCCAGGAAACACTCTTGCATAACCCACTGCCTTGCCCTCTTAACAATCTTTACATCTCCTCTTCCATAATGATCACTGAGTTTGAGAATAGGGCATGTGATAAAGATATATTTAAAATCATACAAATAACTTTAACATGTATGTATATATATGTATATATGTATGTATGTATGTACTTTATTTTCAGGATGGAATAATTCAATCACTGACATGCAGTTTGGAGGATGGCAAAAAAACCATCAGTGAACTAGAAAAAGAAATAACTAGGTAAGGAATTCATTTTTCAAATCATTCGTCCATGACCAAAATCCTTTCCCTATATATCTTTACTTGAAAGTAAGTGTTCATCACACAGTGTCATTGGTCTGGGTCGAGGCCTCTGTTTTCTGCTACGCTATCGATGCTGGGTGTCAGTGGAACCACTCTTTATTATCGTGCTGATTATCTGTGTTGTGGAGATCCTGCAGATTGGGGTCTGCAGGACCGCTCCATTAATTGTCCCAGTAGATGAGAGATGAGTTGGGTGCTTCAGTGGGCCAACTCGTATGCCTGGTTCTGAGGCTGGGTAGTTGCATGGTTGGTCAGATTGCTAGCTCTCCATTATCCTCACCACCATGGTGAGCTCTCCTGTGTTGTCCTGGAAAGTTCACCCCTTGCAGTGATGAGGGAACGACAGGACCAGTTCTCCTACTTTCAAGTCCACAGTGTCAGATCTCTCACACCCAAACCTGCAGCAGCTGCTCTACCATGTTGTCCAGGTATGGTATAGGGGCCTGTATCTGGAGTGCTGCAGCTGATGAGGGGCAGGACCAGCTCTACTGAAGCCTGGGCATTAATGTGCTCAGGAACAGGTGTTTGGGGCAGAAGAAAAGGGCATCTCTCCACTGTCCAAGCCGCCATGTTACAGATGAGTAATGGGGACAGTTGTCCCATGCTCACAGATACAGGGATGGCCTGCCAAAAGAGTTGGCATTGTTGTCCTGCCCAGTAGAGGTACAGTACATCCCCTTCATAGTGTTTCAGCTATACAATGACAGGAAAGGCCAGATGACAGTGTTCTGTGTCTGGCCACAGCGCCATGGGCAGTGCCTAGTTATTGCTTCTTGTAGCTGCATAAGGCATGAGGCACTGTATGAACACTGAGAATTTTACTATGAGTTTGGGAGATTGAGATCATCTGCAGAGTACTATGATGACAGCACTGTACTGAATATATTCAGTGCATACCAGCAGCACACTGTGACAAGCGAGAACTTGGATAATTCATAGTAATTGCACACTTTTGAAATCAGCGGGAAAATTCACACTTAGTTTACTTGAAATGCTGTGTTTACTTTGGTTGTTGAAGCTCAGTGGAGGTGTGTATGTGTTGTGTCTTTGAATCTGTAAGTTTGATACCCAGTAACACTAAGACAAATAAGAAATCTCACATTTGTTCATATCACCTCTAAAGTGTGTACAGACAAAGGGCCACCCAAAGACTGGTACAGTTTCAAAATCACTGTATGTCAAAATGTTCAGCATTCCTATGATCATTCACAGTTTTGTTCAGAATCTAATTGGGTATTTTTAAATGTTTGCAGTAAATACAACTCATTGTGAAACATGTATTTTAATCTAACTGGATATTTCCAAATGTGTGCAGTTACACAACTCATTCTGAAACATGTATTTTAGGCTTACACATGAAATTTCTGCCTTAGAGGCAACAACAAAGCGTCAGGCAGAGGAATGTAAGAACAGTCTGGCAACAAAAGTAAGTCCATATATGAAGGCCATTTTTGTATTCATTTCTGAAATACTTAGACGAAAATTTCCCGTGTCTTGCAGTAATATCCAACCACCTTTTGGGAGTTATGCATATTCTCCCTGGTCATATATTTGACATAATCATCTTATAACTGTTTGTGAATAGTAGTTTAAATACTCTGAGCCTACAGAAGTTCTCTGAATTTGTAAGATTTATGACTCTGACAATAAGATTTGTTTTTTTTTTTGAGACAGGGACTATGTAGCCCAGGCTAGCCTCTGAGAAAGTGACTATGTATCCCAGGCTAATACCAAATTCATGTGGTGATTTACTTTACTTCCAGACTTCTGGGATGAAAATAAAACAAAAGCTACCATATCCTACAGGTGTTAAGTAATTAATGATAAACACTTGGATTGTCTACACTCAATAATTCATCTTTACCATAGTTGGCTTACCCTTTTAACCTTTGGTGAACTCTTCAGTTTTCATGTGTTTGGCTACTGATAACTATGCTGTGTGGAAAACTAATGTCAAATTGAAGTTTTCATCCCTGCCAATACATCATCATAATTTATAACTAACAGATATAAATATTTGTTGAAAAATTGGATTTCATTGTAACCTAAGCCTTTCTTTGATATGTTGAGAATTAGTTATCTGTAATATTTAGTTGTCTTAAAGAATATGGACTAGGTCATTAGACAAGCACATTTCCCGGAGTACAGTCTCTTTTTTCTCATTTTAAACATTTCATTGAGAATTTTCGACAATATATTTTGATGATAATATGATCCTTCCCCAACTCATTTCATACCTGCCTTCACTTCACCAAACACCCAGCTGCATGTTTTATTCCTTCATTGTACTCATTATGTGCAATTTGTGCTACACATGCATATTTGGATGTGTAGCATCCCCTGGAGGGTGACAACCCAACAAAGATTCTACCCTTAAAGAACATCATTCACCCTTCTCCCATGGATCAATGCCAACCTATCCAGGCTAGGAGTAGCTATTTATAGTCACCTCCTGCTCTTTGCTGAAATTCTGTTGGTCATGAGCCTTCACAGGTCTTCTGCATGCTGTCTGAACTACTGTGAATTTATAGAAGCTGCTGCCCTGGTGTGTCTAGGAAACACTCTTGCATAATCCACTGCCTTGCCCTCTTAACAATCATTACATCTCCTCTTCCATAATGATCACTGAGTTTTGAGAATAGAGGATGTGATAAAGATATATTTAAAATCATACAAATAACTTTAAAATGTACATGTATGTACTTTTTCCAGGATGAACTTATTCAGTCATTGACATGCAGTTTGGAGGATGGGAAAAAAACCATCAGCGAACTAGAAAAAGAAATAACTAGGTAAAGAATTCATTTTTCAAATCATTCGTCCATGACCAAACTCCTTTCCCCATATATCTTTACTTGCAAGTAAGTGTTCATCACACAGAGTCATTGGTCTGGGTCGAGGCCTCTGGTTTCTGCTACGCTATCAATGCTGGGTGTCAGTGGAACCACTCTTTATTATCCTGCTGATTGTCTGTGTTGTGGAGATCCTGCAGATTGGGGTCTGCAGGACCGGTCCATTAATTGTCCCAGTAGATGACAGATGAGTTGGGTGCTTCGGTGGGTCAACTCATATCCCTGGTTCTGAGGCTGGGTAGTTGCAGGGTTGGTCAGATTGCTAGCTCTCCATTATCCTCACCACCATGGTGAGCTCCCTGTGTTGTCCTGGAAAGTTCACCCCTTGCAGTGATGAGCAAAGGACAGGACCAGTTCTCCTACTTTCAAGTCCACAGTGTCAGATCTCTCACACCCAAACCTGCAGCAGCTGCTCTACCATGTTGTCCAGGTATGGTATAGGGGCCTGTATCTGGAGTGCTGCAGCTGATGAGGGGCAGGACCAGCTCTACTGAAGCCTGGGCATTAATGTGCTCAGGAATGGGTGTTTGGGGCAGAAGTAAAGGGCATCTCTCTACTGTCCAAGCCGCCATGTTACAGATGAGTAACGGGGACAGTTGTCCCATGCTCACAGATACAGGGATGGCTCTGCCAAAAGAATTGGCTTTATTGTACTGCCCAGTGGAGTTACAGTACATCCCCTGCATAGTGTTTCAGCTATACAATGACAGGAAAGGCCAGATGACAGTGTTCTGTGTCTGGCCACAGCGCCATGGGCAGTGCCTAGCTATTGCTTCTTCTAGCTGCATGAGGAATGAGGCTCTGCAGGAACACTCAGAAAAGTACCATCAGTTTGGGAGATGGAGTATGTCTGCAGAGTTCTATGATGAACACACGATACTGAATAGATTGAATGAATTCCAGCAAGCAAACCGTGACCAGAGACAATTTGTATAAAACATACTAATTGCACACTTTTGAAACCAGAGGGAGAATTGTGCAGTTAGTTTACCTGAAATGCATGGTTTATTTGGTTGTTGAAGCTCAGTGGAGGTGTGTATGTGTTGTGTGTGAATCTATAAGTTTGATACACAGTAAAACTAAGACAAATAAGAAAACTCACATTGTTCATATTACCTCTAAAGTATGTACAAACAAAGGGCCACACAAAGATTGTTCCACTGTCAAAATGTTCAGAATTCCTATGACATTAACAGTATTGTTCAGAATCTAATTGGGTGTTTTAAAATGTGTGCAGTAAACACACTCATTCTGAATCATGTATTTTAGGCTTCTCCTTGAAATTTCTGAATTACAAGAAACAACAAATCATCAAGCAGAAGAAAGTAAAAAGAGTCTGGCAACAAAAGTAAGTCCATATATATTAAGCCCATTTTTGTATTAATTTCTGAAAGACTGAGATGAAAATTTCCCGTGTCTAGCAGTAATATACAACCACAATTTGGGAGTTATGCATATTCTACCTGGTCATATATTTGATATAATTATATTGTAACTGTTTGTGAATAGTAGTTTAAATTCTCTGAGTTTACAGAAGTTCTCTGAATTTGTAAAATTTATTACTCTGACAATAAGATTTGGTTTTTTTGAGACAGGGTCTGTGTAGCCCAAGCTAACCTCTGAGAATGTGACCAAGTAGCCAAGGCTAATACCAAATTAATGCTGTGATTTACTTTACTTCCAGACTTCTGAGATGAAAATAAAACAGAATCTACCATGTCCTACAGGTGTTAAGTGATTAATGATAAACACTCAGAATGTCTACACTCAGTAGTTCTTATTTACCACAGTTGGCTTACCCTTTTCACCTTTGGTGAACTCTGAGTTTTCATGTGTTTGGCTACTGATAACTATGCTGTGTGGAAAACTAATGTCAAATTGAAGTTTTCATCCCTGCCAATACATCATCATAATGTATAACTAAAAGATATTAATATTTGTTGAAAATTGGGTTTCATTGTAACCTAAGCCTTACTTTGATATGTTAAGAATTAGTTATCTGTAATATTTATTTGTCTTAAAGAATATGGATTAGGCCATTATACAAGCACATTTCCCACAGTACAGTTTTTTTCTCATTTTAAACATTTCATTGAGAATTTTCGACAATATATTTTGATGGTAATACGATCCTTCCTCAAGTCATTTCAAACCTGCCTCACTTCACCAAACACCCAGCTGCATGTTTTATTCCTTCATTGTACTCATTATGTGCAATTTGTGCTACTCGTACATATTTGGATGTGTAGCATCCACTGGAGTGTGACAACACAGCAAAGATTCTACCCTTAGAGAAGATCATTCATCCTTCTCACATGGATCAATGCCAACCACTGCAAGCTAGGAGTAGCTATTTGTAACCACCTCCTGCTCTTTCTGAAATTCTGTTGGCCATGAACCTGCACAAGTCCTCTGCATGCTGTCTGGACTACTGTGAATTTATAGAAGCTGCTGCCCTGGAGTGTCCAGAAACACTCTTGAATAATCCACAGCCTTACCCCCTTAACAATCTTAACATCCCCCTTCCGTAATGATCACTGAGTTTTGAGAATAGGGCATGTGATAAAGATATGTTTAGAAGCTACAAATAATTTTAAAATATATATGTACTTTATTTCCAGGATGAAGTAATTCAATCATTGAAATGCAGCTTGGAGGATCGGGAAAAAACCATCAGTGAACTAGAAAAAGAAATAAGTAGGTAAGGAATTCATTTTTCAATATCATTCTTCCATGACCAAACTCCTTTCCCCATATATCTTTACTTGCAAGTAACTGTTAATCACACAGTGTCATTGGTGTGGGTCAAGGCCTCTGTTTTCTGCTACGCTATCGATGCTAGGTGTCAGTGGAACCACTCTTTATTATCGTGCTGATTATCTGTGTTGTGGAGATCCTGCAGATTGGGGTCTGCAGACGGCGCCATTAATTTTCCCAGTAGATGAGAGATGAGTTGGGTGCTGCAGTGGGCCAACTCGTATGCCTGGTTCTGAGGCTGGGTAGTTTCATGGTTGGTCAGATTGCTAGCTCTCCATTATCCTCACCACCATGGTGAGCTCTCCTGTGTTGTCCTGGAAAGTTCACCCCTTGCAGGGATGAGCGAAGGACAGGACCAGTTCTCCTACTTTCAAGTCCACAATGTCAGATCTCTCACACCCAAGTCTGCATCAGCTGCTCTACCGTGTTGTCCTGGTATGGTATACGGGCCTGTATCTGGAGTGCTGCAGCTGATGAGGGGCAGGACCAGCTCTACTGAAGCCTGGGCATTAATGTGCTCAGGAACGGGTGTTTGGGGCAGAAGAAAACGGCATCACTCCACTCTCTATGCCGCCGTGTTACAGATGAGGAATGGGGACAGTTTTCCCATGCTCACAGATACAGGGATGGCTCTGCCGACTGTATTGGCTTTGTTGTAGTGCCTGATGGAGGTATAGTACTTCTCGTGCATAGTGGTTCAGCTGGTGGGGCACAGGGGTTGCTCTCCCACACTTATGACCTCAGAGCTAGCTCACTACCATTCTTGCTATTAGGTGAAAAATGGGGGCAGTTCTCACCCACACCTCTGGCAACAGGATCATCTCTATTTTTCTGCCCAGATGAGAGGCGAGGTCTTCTCTGCTGAGATTTGCAGATGGCCGGAGTCAGGGACACAGGGACTGCTGCTCTCCTGCCCTCATGCCCTTATGCCTCAGGGACAGTTCTCCCACTCTCCTCAAACATTGATGTGTGCGTGAAGGCATTCCCAACTTTTTTACACTTGAATATCACTGCAAACTCTGCTAAAACACGAACAATAACAATGGCACAGCCTTCATGGTAATGATTTGCAAAATATTTCCACTACTCTATGAACTATCCCGCTATTTTTAATTTCACATCAATGAAATTTTCAGAAAATGGATCCAAATGCCTTGACAGAATGTAATGTGGATGCTTCCATTCGACTCTCGGGAAGAGTATTTAATAGCACCAGAAACCTCATAATGAGAGTCCTGGATGTCCGCATTTTTATGGACATTCTGGTATCAAGAGCTCACAGCAGAATGTCTCATTAGGCTGATCTTATTCTGGGACTTTCTGTAAACCATAGCGTCCAGATTCCTTCATATGCCCTTGCATAAATTCCATAAGTCTGCTTAGCCCAGGGCCACTTTTCTTATAGCAGTGATGAAGTGGTACCCACTTGCCATGTCAATCACATTTGCTCACTGCAGAGATGCCATCTGACATGTCAGGTTGTTAGAGCAACGGTGGTTTTGGCTAAATATTTCAGACGATTTCTAGTCTACCATGACAGGAAATGCTGGATGGACAGAGTTCTGTCTGCGTCATCAGGACAATGGGGCAGCCCCTAGCTATTGCTTCTTCTAGCTGCATGAGGAATGAGGCTCTGCAGGAACACTCAGAAAAGTACCTTCAGTTTCAGAGATGGAGTACGTCTGCATAGTTCTATGATGAAAACAGGATACTGAACGATCGAATGAATTCCAGCAAGGAAACCGTGACGAGAGACAATTTGTATAAAACATACTAATTGCACACTTTTGAAACCAGAGGGACAATTGTGCACTTAGTTTACCTGAAATGCATGGTTTTCTTTGGTTGTTGAAGCTCAGTGGAGGTGTGTATGTGTTGTTTGTTTGAATCTATAAGGTTGATACACTGTAACACTAAGACAAATAAGAAAACTCACATTTGTTCATATTACCTCTAAAGTATGTACAAACAAAGGACCACACAAAGATTGGTATACTGTCAAAAATCACTATATGTCAAAATGTTCAGAATTCCTATGATCATTAACAGTATTGTTCAGATTCAAAATGGGTGTTTTCAAATGTGTGCATTAAACACATTCTGAATCATGTATTTTAGGCTTAATCAGGAAAATTCTGACTTACAAGAAACAAAAAATCATCAAGCAGAAGAAAGTAAAAAGAGTCTGGCAACAAAAGTAAGTCCATATATATTAAGCCCATTTTTGTATTAATTTCTGAAATACTGAGTCGAAAATTTCCCATGTCTAGCAGTAATATACAACCACATTTTGGGATTTATGCATATTCTACCTGGTCATATATTTGATATAACCATCTTGTAACTGTTGGTGAATAGTAGTTTAAATTCTCTGAGTTTACAGAAGTTCTCTGAATTTGTAAAATTTATTACACTGACAAAAAGATTTGTTTTTTTTGAGACAGGGACCATGTAGCTCAGGTTAACCTCTGAGAAAGTGACTATGTAGCCCAGCCTCATAACAAATAAATGCTGTGATTTACTTTACTTCCAGACTTCTAGGATGAAAATAAAACAGAATCTTCCATGTCCTGCAGGTGTTAAGTGATTAATGATAAACTCTCAGTTTGTCTACACTCAATAGTTCATATTTACCATAGTTGGCTTACCCAATTACCATTTGAAGGACTCTTAATTTTCATGTGTTTGACTACTGATAACTATGCTGTGTGCAAAACTAATCTCTAATTGAATTTTTGATCCCTGCCAATATATCATCATAATGTATATCTATAAGATATTCATAAACATTTGATGAAAGTTTGGATTTCATTTTACCCTTAACCTTTCTGTGATATCTTGAGTTTTAGTTATCTGTAATATTTAGCTTTATTAAAGAATAAGTACTAGATCATAGACAAGCACATTTACCTAACGACAGTCTTTTTTTCTTATTTAAATAGTTCATTGAGAATGTTCGACAATATATTTTGATGATATATTACCCTTCCCCAACTCATCTCATACCTGCCTTCAATTCACCAAACGCTCAGCTTCATGTTTTATTCCTTATTTAAGTGAATTATGTCAATTTGGTTACACATACATGTCTGGATGTGTAGCATCCTTTGGATGGTGACAACCCAGCAAAGATTCTTCCCACAAAGAAAATCATTCATCCTTTTCCCATTGATCACTGCCAACCTCTCCGGGCTAGGGTTCGGTATATAGCCACCTCAGCCTCCTTGCAGGAATTCTCTTGGCCATGAGCCTGGACAACTATTCTGCATGCTATCTTGCCTGCTGTGAATTCATATAAGCTACTTCCCTGTTGTATCCAGGAAATACTCTTGCATAATCCATTGCCTTGCACTCTTAACAGTCTTTACATCTCCTCTTCCATAATGATCACTGAATTTTAGGATTAAGAGATTTTGACAAAGATATATTTAATATCATACATATAATTTTAAAATGTACTTTATGTACTTTTTTCAGAACCAATCAATTCAAGCATTCACAATGCATTCAGAGAATGGGAAGGAAGAAGAGAATAAACTATTAAAAGAAATTGATAGGTAATGAATTAATTTTTAAATCTTTCATCCATGACCTAAAACTATGATCCATATATCTTTACTTGCAAGTAAGTGTTCATCGCAGTGTCATTGGATTGGTTCAAGGCCTCTGGTTTCTGCTACACTGTCGATGCTAGGCTGTCAGTGGAATCAATCTTTATTATCCTGGTGATCGTCTGGGTTGTGGAGGTCCTGCAGATTGGGATCTACACGACCGGTCCATTCAATTTTCCCAGGAGATCACAGATGGGGTGGATGCTGGGGCAGGCTAACTCATATGCCTGGTTCTGGCCTGGGCAACTTCAGGGTTGTTGAGCCTGCCAGATCTCCCTTGTCCTCACCACCATGGTGAGCTCTCCTGTATTGTCCTAGCAAGTTCACCCCTAGCAGTGACAAGCAAGGGGCAGGACTAGTTCTCCTGCTATCAAGTCCTCAGTGTCAGATCTCCCAAAACCCCACAGCAGCAGCAACTCTACTGTTTTTTCCAGGTGTGGTATAGGGGCCTCTCTCTGGAGTGCTGCAGCTGATGAGAGACAGGACCATCTCTCTTGAAAATGGGGGCATTTATGGGCTCTGGAATGGTTGTTTGAGGCAGAAGTAAAGGGCATCTCTCATTTTCCTAAACTGCCATGTTACAGATGAGTAACGCAGACAGTTCTCCCAAGCTCACAGATGGCTGGCTCTGCCAAAAGAATTGGCTTTATTGTACTGCCCATTGGAGGTACAGTACATGCACTGCATTTGCTTTCAGCTGGTGGGGGATAGGGGCAGCTTTTCACCCTTAGGACCTCAGGGCTAGCTGTCTTCCATTCTTGCTGTTAGATAACTATGGGGGCAGTTCTCACCCACACCTCTGCCAGCAGGATCAGCTGAATTTTGTTGCCCAGGTGAGGGGCAAGGTCTTCCCTCCTGAGAATTGCAGATGATAGGAGATAGGGGCTGCTGACCTCAGCGCCATTCTCCCAATCTCCTCAAAAATTGATGGGTGGGGCAAAGCATGGGATCTCTCTGATGCCCAACATTTTTACACTTGAATATCATTGTAAACTCTGGTAAAAATATGAACAATAACAATGTCATAGCCTTAAGAGTAATGATTTGTAAAGATTTCCAACACTAAATAAACTATCCCTCTATATTTAACTTCATATAAATGAACATTTCAGAAACTGGATCCTAATTCCTTGAAAGAATGTAATGCGGACACTTGTGGCCAACTCTGGAAGAGTATTTAATAGCACTAGAAACCTCATGACCACAGCCCTTGATGTCTTCATTTTTATGGACATTCTGGTATCATGAGCTGACATCAGAATGTCTCATTAGGCTGATCTTCTTCTGCGCCTTCTGTAAACCATAGCTCCAGATTCTATCCTATGCCCATGAATTAGTTCCATAAGTCTAATGAGCCCATGGCCACTGTTATTAGAGTGGTGATGATGTGGTACCCACTTCCCATGTCAATCATGTTTCCCCACTTCAGAGATGATATCTGAGAAGTCAACTTGATAGAGCAAAGGTTGTTGTGGGGAAACATTTCAGAGCGTTTCTAGTCTACAATGACAGGAAAGGCCAGATGAAAGTGTTCTGTGTGTGGCAGCAGGACCATTGGGGCCTCCCCTAATTATCCCTTCTTCTAGTTACATGAGGCATGAGGTACTTTGTGAACACTGAGAATTGTACTATGAGTTTGAGAGATGAAGATCATCTGCAGAGTTCTGCAATGAAAGCACTGTACTGAATACATTGAGTGCATACCAGGAAGCCAGCCGTGACAAGATAGTATTTGTATAATACATACTAATTGCACACTTTTGAAACCAGAGGGAAAATCTGTATTTAGTTTACCTGAAATGCAGAGTTTACTTTGGTTGTTGAAGCTCAGTGGAGGTGTGTATGTGTTGTGTGTTTGAATCTGTTTGTTTGATACACAGTAACACTAAGACAACTAAGAAAACTCACATTTTTCATATTACCTCTAAAGTGTATACAGACAAAGGGCCACCCAAAGACTGGTACAGTTTCAAAATCTCTGTATGTCAAAATGTTCAGTATTCCTATGATCATTCACAGTTTTGTTCAGAATCTGGTTGTGTATTTTTGAATGTTTGCAGTAAACACAACTCATTCGTAAACATGTATTTTAATCCAATTGGGTATTATCAAATGTGTGTGTGCAGTAAACATGTGAAACATGTATTTCAGGCTTAACCATGAAATTTCTATCTTGCAATCAACAAAAAAACATCAGGATGAGGAAATTCAAGAATTGCAGACAAATCAAGTAAGTCCATATTTAGAAAGCCTATTTTGTATTAATTTCTGAAAGAGTGAGAAGAAAATTTCCTGATTCTAGCAGTAGTATACAGTCACATTTTAGGAGACATGAATATTCTCCCTAGTAATATATTTGATATATCCATATGTAACTGTTTTTAAATACTAGTTTAAATTGTCTGAGCTTGCAGAAGTTCTTTGAATTTGTAAAATTCATTAGTCTGGGAATGTGATTTGTTTTTTGAGACAGGGACTATGTAGCGCAGGCTCATACCAAATTCATGCTGTGATTTACTTTGCTTCCAGATTTCTGGGATGAAAACAAAAAGAGTAGCTACCATGTCCTATCAGTATTATGCGATTAATGATAAATATTGTGATTATCTACACCCAGTAGTTCATATTTACCATAGTCGGCTTACCCAATTACCATTTGATGGACTATTAATTTTCATGTGTTTGACTACTGATAACTATGCTGTGTGGAAACCTAATCTCAAATTGAATTTTTGATCCCTGCCAATACATCATCATAATGTATATCTATAAGATATACATAAATATTTGATGAAAGTTTGGATTTCATTTTACCCTTAACCTTTGTGTGATATCTTGAGTATTAGTTATCTGTAATATTCAGCTTTATTAAAGAATAAGTACTAGATCGTTAGACAAGCACATTATCCAGAGTAAAGTTTTTCTTCTTATTTTAAATAGTTCATTGAGTATTTTCCACAATATATTTTGATGATATATGACCCTGCCCCAACTCATCTCATACCTGCCTTCAATTCACCAAACATTCTGCTGCATGTTTTACCTTCATTATACTGATGATGTAAAATTTGTGCTACACATACATGTTTGGAAGGTGACAACCCAGAAAAGATTCTACCCTTAAAGAACATCATTCATCCTTCTCCCATGGATCACTGCCAACCTCTCCTGGCTGTGTGTAGGTAATTATAGCCATGTCCCTCTTCTTGGTGGCAGTATGTAGGCCACGAGCCTGCACAGGTCTTCTGCATGTTATCTCGCCTGCTGTAAAGTCATGTAAGCTACTGCACTGCTGTGTCCAGGAAACACTCTTGCATAATTCACTGCCTTGCACAATTAACAATCTTTACCCCTCCTCTTGCATAATGATCACTGAGTTTTGGAAGAGGAGATTTTGAACAATATATATTGAATATCACACGTGTAATTTTAAAATGTACATATATGTACCTTTTTCAGACTATATCATTTGAAACATTCACATTGCATTTGGAGTATTGTAATGGAACCATCAGTAAGCTACGAAAAGAAAGAACTAGGTAAGAAATTCATTTTCAAATCACTCATACATGACCCAAGGCCTTTATCCATATATGTTTACTTGCCAGTGTATATTGCAGAGTCATACGTCTGGTTTGAGACCTCTGGTATCTGCTACACTTTGAATGCTGGGCTGTCAGTACAATCAATCTTTATTGTCCTGCTGATTTTCTGTGTTGTGGAGATTCTGCAGAATGGGGTCTGCAGGACTGGTCCCTTCAGTTGTCCCAGTAGGTCACAGATGGGTTGGATGATGGGGTGAGCCATTCATATGCCTGGTACTGGAACTGTATAGTTGCAGGGTTGGTCAGGTTGCCAGCTCTCACTTGTCCTCACCACCAGGGTGAGCTCTCCTGTATTGACCTGGCAATTTGACCCCTTGTAGTGATGGACACAGGGCAGGACCAGTTCTCTTGCTTCCAAGTCCCCAGTGTCAGATCTCCCACATGCAAATTTTCAAGGGCAGCTCTACCGTGTTGTCTAGGTGTAGTATAGGGGCCTCTCTCTAGAGTCCTGCAGCTGATGAGGGGCAGGACCAGCTCTACTGAAGCTTGGTGCATGTATGGGCTTGGAGTAGGGGTTCGGGCAGAAGTAAAGGACACCTCTCCTTTGCCAAAGCTGCCATGTTACAGATGAGTAATGGGGACAGTCCTCCGATGCTCTCAGATACAGGGCTGGCTCTACCACAAGAATTGGCTTCATTGTACTGCTCAATGGAGGTATAGTATATCCCATGATTAGTCTTTCAACAGGTGGGGGACAGTGGCTGCTCTCCCACCCTCATGACCTTAGGGCTAGCTCTCTTGGATTCATACTGGTAGAAACAAATGGGGGCATTTCTCCCCCACACCTCTGCCAGCAGGATCAGCTCTATTTTTCTGCCCAGGAGAGGGGCGAGGTCTTCTGTCCTGAGTCTTGCAGATGGTGGCAGACAGGGAGAGAGGGACTGCAGCTCTTGGGTCCTTATGCTGTCATGACTTCACGGCCAGTTCTCCCATGCTCCTCAAGCACTGATGGGTTGGCATGGGATCTCTCATGCCTGACTTTTAAAAACTTGAATAACAGTGTAAACTCTGCTAAAAGCAAGAAAAACTGCAAAGTAACAGCCTTAATGGTAGTGATTTGCAATTTATTTCATCCACTAAATCCCAGCATTTTTAATTGCACATCAATGACCATTACAGAAAAGGGATCCAAATTCCTTGAAAGAATGTAACGTGGATGCTACTGGTCAACTCTCTGGAAGAAACCTCCCAATCACAGCCCTTGATGTCTGCAATTTTATGGACATTCTAGTATCATGAGCTGAAATCAGAATGTTTCATTAGGATGATCTTCTTCTGGGCCTTCTGTAAACTCTAGGTCCAGAATCTTTCCTATGCCCATGAATGAGTTCCTGAAATCTAATGAGCCCTTGGTCACTTTTATTATAGCATTGCTGTTATGGTACCAACATCCCATGTCAATCATGTTTCCTCACTGCAGAGATGATATCTGAGAAATCAACATGATAGAGGAAAGTTGATTTTGGCTAAACATTTCTGAGCATTTCTAGTATACAATAACGGGAAAGGCCAGATGACAGTGTTCTGTGTGTGGCAGCAGGGCCATGGGCAGTGCCTAGTTATTGCTTCTTCTAGTTGCATGAGGCATGAGGCACTGTATGAACACTGAGAATTTTACTATGAGTTTGGGAGATGGAGATCATCTGCAGAGTACTATGATGAAAGCACTGTACTGAATACATTCAGTGCATACCAGCAAGCACACTGTGACAAGAGAGAACTTGGATAATTCATAGTAATTGCACACTTTTGAAACCAGCGGGAAAATTCACCCTTAGTTTACCTGAAATGCTGGGTTTACTTTGGTTGTTGAAGCTCAGTGGAGGTGTGTATGTGTTGTGTGTTTGAATCTGTAAGTTTGATACCCAGTAACACTAAGACAAATAAGAAAACTCACATTTGTTCATATTACCTCTAAAGTGTGTACAGACAAAGGGCCACCCAAAGACTGGTACAGTTTCAAAATCACTGTATGTCAAAATGTTCAGTATTCCTATGATCATTCACAGTTTTGTTCAGAATCTGGTTGTGTATTTTTAATTGTTTGCAGTAAATACAACTCATTCTGAAACATGTATTTTAATCTAACTGGATATTTCCAAATGTGTGCAGTAAATTCAACTCATTCTGAAATATGTATTTTAGGCTTAACCTTGAAATTTCTGACTTACAAGAAACAACAATGCGTCAAGCAGAGGAAATTAAAGAAATTAAGATAACATCAAGTAAGTCCGTTTTTATTAAGCCCATTTCGTATTAATTCCTGAAAGACTGAGCAGAATACTTCCTGTGACTAGCAGTAGTGTACAACGACATTTTAGGAGATAAGAATATTCTCCTTGGTCATATATTTGTTATATTCATATTGTAACTGTTTGTAAATACAAGTTTAAATTCTCTGAACTTACAGAAGTTCTCTGAATTTGTAAAATTTATTACTCTGAAAATAAGACTGTTTTTTTGAGACAGGGACTATGTAGCCCAGGCTAGCCTCTGAGAAAGTGACTATGTAGCCCAGGCTAATACCAAATTCATGCTGTGATTTACTTTACTTCCAGACTTCTGGGATGAAAATAAAACAGAAGCTACCATGTCCTACAGGTGTTAAGTGATTGATGATAAATACTGTGATTTTCTACACTCAATATTTCATATTTACCATAGTTGGTTTACCCTTTTAACCTTTGATGGACTCTTAATTTTCATGTGTTTGGCTACTGTTGATAATGCTGTGTGCAAAACTAATCTCAAATTGAATTTTTGATCCTGCAAATATGTCACCATAATGTATAACTATAAGATATAATATTTCATGAAAAAGTTGGATTTCATTGTAACCTAAGCCTTTCATTGACATCATGAGTATTAATTGTCGGCAATATTTAGTTTTCTTAAATAATAAGTACTAGATCATTAGACAAGCACATTTCCCAGAGTGAAGTAGTTTTTTACTTATTTTAAATAGTTCATTGAGTATTTTCCACAATGTATTTTGATGATATATTACCCTTCCCCAACTCATCTCATACCTGCCTTCAAGTCATCAAACATTCTGCTGCATGTTTTATTCCTCCATTATACTCATGATGTAAAATTTGTGGTACACAAGTTTGGAAGGTGACAACCCAGCAATTTTCTACCCTTAAAGAACATCATTCATCCTTCTCCCATTGATCTCTGCTAACCTCTCCTGGCTGTGTGTAGGTATTTATAGCCATGTCCCTCTTCTTGGTGGAACTCTGTTGGCCATGAGCCTGCGCAGGTCTTCTGCGTGCTGTCTGGACTACAGTGAATTCATTGAATCTGCTGCCCTGCTGTGTCCAGGAAACGCTCTTGACTAATCTTACACTGCCATGCACACTTAACAATCTTTACATCTCCTCTTCCATAATGATCAATGAGTTCTGTGAATAGCAGATATGATAAAGGTATATTTAAAATCATGAAAATAACATATATATATATATATGTCCTTCTTTCCAGGATGAAGCTGCTCAAAAATTGGCATGGTATTTGGAGTATTGTAATGAAACAGTCTGTAAACTACAAAAAAGATTTAGCTAGGTGAGAAATTCATTTTTAAATTACTCATAAATGACCAAACTCCTTGATCCTTATATGTTTACTTGCAAGCGTTCAT